GGTGGATGGATGGATGGATGGATGGACAGGTAAATGGATGGATGGATGGATAGATGGGTGGGTGGATGGAAGGATGGATGGGTGGGTGGATACATGGATGAATGGGTGGGTGGATGGATGGATTATGGATGTGTGGGTGGATGGATGGATGGGTGGATGGATGGATGGATGGACAGGTGGATAGAAGGATAGATGGATGGATGGGTGGGTGGATGGATGGATGGATGGATGGAAGGATGGATGGGTGGATGGGTGGGTAGATGGATGGATGGATGGACAGATGGGTGGGTGGGTGGGTGGATAGATAGATGGGTGGATGGATGGATGGGCAGGTGGATGGATGGAAGGATGGATGGATGGGTGGGTGAAGGATGGAGGGAGATAGAGAGAAAGGGAGGGAAGAGGGAAAGAAAAAAGGGAGGTTGAGTGGATGGAAAAACAGATTCCATGACTTGGGACCATTGGGGAGGGGCCTCTCTTGGCCAAGAGAGGCCCCCCAAACCCCTGTGTGTGCCGCAGGCGGCCTGTGACGTGTTCTGCGTGGGGGACGACGTCAACATCGAGAAGGCCAACAACTCCCTCATCAGCAACGACCGCAGCTGGAAGAGGAACAAGTTCCGCCTCACCTACGTGGCCGAAGCACCAGAGCTTACCCAGGGTACTGGGCACCACCGCCCCGCCCCCACCAGGAGGCCCTTTGCAACAGCGACAGGGCCGGGGGGAGGGGAGGTGGGGGACCTCACCTGGAAAGGCACCTCAGTGCCCCCAACGGGTCAGTTTGCTGGACGTCCAAGGGCAAGCCGTCAAGAGCGGACTCGCCCCTCGCCTGCCCCACGCCCAGTGCACTGGGGAGCTTCGCTCTCCCTTGGAATGACAAGTCCCCAAGCCATCCTGCTTCAGTCCCAGCCGATCCCAGCCCATGCTCACGTCTTGTCTCTCCACTTGACCACAGTAGGAGCAGGAATAGAGGGTCCCTGAAAACCTGGAGCACCTTAGAGGTGCCCCTAACCCCCTCTGAGGGAGACCGTGTCGCTCTCCACAGGGCTCTCCATCGTCCACAAGAAGCGAGTCTCGGCCGCGCGACTCCTGAGTCGACAGAACCTCCAGAGCCCCAAGTCCAGGTAGGAATGTGGACGTGTCCACCTCAGCTCCCAGGGGCCACTCACCGCATGGGAGGGCATCTGCTCCCTCCTTGGAGGACCACTGCAAAGTGCCACCGAGCCGCACCCCCCGCCTTGGTGCCTGTCACATGTGGGTTTCCGGTGCCTAGAGGCAGGAACAAAGGAGACGGTGCTGGTCCTGTGAACAGGGGAAAGAGAAAAGTTCTGAGCGATTCTTCACAGTGGGCCACGCTCGTGTGGAATTGCCGAGGGCTCACTGGACCCCAGGATCTTCGTCAGAAAGATTAGTTCCCGCATTTCCTCCAGGTGGACCATTTTTCTGCAGAGCGCTGCAAAAATAGCTAGCTGGCCTCTGCCTAAATGTCTCTGGGATGAAAGGGGGTTTGTCCAGTCCCCCCCAAAAAATGCACTCCATTTTTTGTTAGAAATTATCTGAACACCTAACATAGCCAAATATCCAATCTATATAATATAGTGAAAGACCTGATTACCTAATACAACCCAAGTCTGTCTTCTTAGCAGTTTGTGTTAAACCCAGTGAGCCTTCTCAGCGCCACCCAAGACGAATTCGTGTCTTTCAAAGGAGAAACCTTCTGGGTATGGTGGCACCTGCCTATAATCCCCTCCACTCTGGAGGTTGAGGCAGAAGGATCGCAAGTTCAAGGCCAGCCTCAACAACTTAGCGAGACCCTGTCTCAAAACAGAAAAAAATAAAAAGGGCTGGGGATGTGGCTCAGTGGCAAAGTCATCCTGCCTCAGACCTGGTTTGCCAAGCTTTGGGCTGTATAGTAAAAGGGTACACTCTGTCCTGTTGGAAATGTCATTTGCAGACCTGGTCACGGTGCAGCGGAAGTTGTGTGCTGGCTGCCGAGTGCGCTGGGGCTATTATTGCCGCTGCTGATCTGAACAGGATGTGCTCCTGTCACCCRAGAATGCGGGCGCTGTCCCTAACAGCCCGCTCTCCCATTAAGCCAACGTCCTCCCTGCCCCTTGACATCTCTCTTCTCGAAATGATCAAACCAGGGCTGTCCATCCCTCCCCTCGTATAAATATTTTTTTTTTTTTTAGCACTAATGAATGTCTTTGTGTTGATCCCTGTTGAATCTCACTTTGTAGTTAAGAGCCCAGGAAGAGCTTTTGAAATCTTGATTCTTTGCACCGCGTCATACAAACAGCGTGCGGTCCGCCTGCACAGCCCCGGGTTCTGACCCCAGCTCTCCCCTGCACGAGCTGTGTGGCCTTGAATAAGTCGCCCAGGTGCTCGGAGCCCATGTCTCCTTCTCTCTAACCCAGGAACGAGGGCTGGTGCTTCCCACGTCCTGAGCGCGGTCCTGAGCTCTCTGCACAGGACCTCACATCCTTTATACCAGCCCAGGAGAAAGGGACGGTCTYGTTTTCAATAGGAGGAAATGACGGGAAGTAGACGTGACTGTTTCAAGGTCACGCTGACCCTCCCCAGCTTCACCTCACCTGCCAGTGAGCACATCTGCTTCCCGTGGGGTCTTTGAAACCTTGGATGACCGTGACCGACCTGTCACAGCCCCAGATCCACCTGTCAGAGCCAACCTGTTCCTCTCTCCTAGATCCTCAAACATTGAAGAAGTAGATTGGGAGATTGATCTCTAAATAATTAGTTAAATACAGTGTTCGGAGCTCAGCGAGCTCTGATCTACAGCGAGAGATCCTCCACGTGGTGTGTGCACCTCACTTTCCACTTCTCTCCCGGGGAAAGGTGTGACTTGCACAGCAATGAAAGACAAGGGGCAGAGAATCTGCCCCAACCTTGAAAGTCCAGTTGAGCAGTGCCCCCCCCCAAACCACAGTACAGAAGCAACAAAGGAAAACTGCAGATATTTTAATACCAAAATGGAACCAAAGTCCCCAAATTAGCCTCTGCCCTTCCTCTAAGCGGAGGGTCTAAAGGGACAGATGAGAAAATTCCAAACAAGGCTAGGAACTAGAACATAGTATTAAAATCTGTCGTGAATTAGCACAAAGAGGACCAAATTGTACCTAAGTGTTCCTCTCTTTAAAAGCAGCTCTGATGCGGTCTGTTTCCAGGCTCAATACCATTTCCAGCTCCCGAGGTTTGTTATGAGGAATCGAGGGGGAAAGCATGATGCTCCCATTTTTCTCCTGCCCGAGGCTGGGCTCTTTGGCCCTGGAGGCCGCCACTCAGATTCACAGATCACCCCCTCTAGAGGCCCTTAATTGCAAACAAAGTGCCGAGGAGGAAGTAAACCGMTTTTCCAGGGCGATCCTTGCGAATCTAAAGGGAAAAGTGACCACAATGGGTCCTGCCTGGAAATAGAGGTTCTAATMCGTGCGCAGCAATTAGCTCACCACGCAGAGGAGACGGTAATGGAGCGCTGATGGGTGAGCAGAGCAAGTCCTGGAAGTCGGGAGGAACGGGCGGTGGCAGAGCCTGGGTCTCCAGGGGAGGACAGGAGAGCCACRGGGCACAGGGGCCCGAGGCCCGGGTTTGGGAGAAGAGCGGACGTTGTGCTGGAGGGTCCTTGTTGGAATTCCCATCTCCCTGTGGACAAAGCTGCTGCTCTGGCCTTCCCTGCCTCCRCAGAGGACAAGGACAGCCCGAGGGGCTGCCTTGGCTCCTCCCCCCTCACCCTGCACTCGCAGATGCACTTGGCCTTATTCAGTCCTATCTCAGACCCCCAGGGCGGCCACCTGGAGCAAACYTGGGACCATCTCCCATCTGAGTGACTGAAACAGCAGCCCACCTCGTGGCTGTTCTTGGCTTTTCTCTCAGAGATCTGTTTTCCAAACAGCAGCCCGAGCGAGTCTTTAAAAACCTGAATTGAAGCATGTCACCCCCTTCTTTTCACAGCCTTGCCACTGAGCATAGGGAACCCTCTAGACTCTTTGCCATGACAGATTGTGACAAGGYCTGCAAGATCTGGGCCCTGACACTCTCCAAACCCTCCGGCTGTCTTTCCCTTCCTCGAATAGCTCCTGCCTTTTTCTGCCTCAGGGCCTTTGCACGTCCATCCCCCTTTCCCAGAACCCTCTGGATCTTGGTGGACCCACTTCTTCTCATTTTCAAATTTCTGTKCGAATGTCAGATCACAAAGAAGCCTCCCTGACCACCCTACCTGCTCTCCACCCACCGCCATCRCCCAGCCCCTCCAAGTACCCTGGGCCACGTGGCCATTCACTTCCGTGATCTCATCGAGGAGCCTGCAAAGCCCCTTTGCTTAAAATCCCACCACGCTGGGCAGAGCCTGGGCCAGCTACTTTCATTTCCTCCCACCCCTTACCCTCTGCTACATTCAAGAGGACCTGGGGAAAGTGGCTGGGAGCGTGAGCGGGCTCCTCAAGTTCAGGTCCTCTGCATTGTGATCTTGTGATGGTGGCGGGAGAAAGCAGGTATTGATCTGCCAGCCTTTCAAAAGGCTTCCTCTGCRGGAGCCCAGGAGGCTCCCAAGTGAGAAGCCTACGGCGCCCCCTGCTGGCTGCTGGCTGCGGCTCACTCCCTGCCTGCCGAGGCTAGGTAATGAGGTCTTGCCTCCTCAGGAAYGCTCCCCTGAGCTCAGGGGAGAATCAGTCATGCGCATTCCTATAATTTGACAAGATCATGGCTCCAGAGAGGATGAGACCTGCTTTGGAAAGGAGAGAGGAGCCCCAGGCCSTATCAGTACCATTCACGATTAGGACCACAAGCTCCCCATCTTCCTAAGTAAGGACAGGGGTGCCAGGCTTCGAGAAAAACACTGGACATTCCCCCCATCAACACACACAAAAGAATGTGTCAGCTCAGCTGTTTTTTAACAACGGTGGCTATTTGTAGCACAAAGGGGGCTCTTGGTTGTGCCAAAAAAATGCCTCTACGCAGCGAGTGCCATTGGTCTGTTGGACTGTGGGGAGTTTCAGATTGAGCCCAGTGTCCCTATCAACTGAAAGCCACTGGCCACGGAGGAGGAGCAGATTTGGAAAGCAAACGCAGTACGAGGGATTTGACGTCCCAAGGTTTCTGTCTCCGTCCCAGCGTTTGCAGGGATCAGGCRGAGGACAGTGTCACCGGCACTAAGACTTTTCAAAAAATGACGTTCTGAGAATTCTTCGAGTCCAGGCTTTCTGGACTTCCAATGCAAAGATCAGTGTGAAAGGGCGTGACGGGGCAGGCGTAAAAGTGCTTCTCTCCAGGTGTTCTTCTCAGACCTCGCCATTTTATGATCTCAGTGGATTTAGGAGTGAGAGGACCCAAGCGTAAGGCCGGGTCTTTTTTCTTTCCTGACAATATGAACACCCTGGTTGCAAAAGAGGATGGAGCTGGGAATTCCTAGGAGAGATCGGCGCTGAGCACAGGGTCTGTCCAGCGACGGACTCACCCTGGAAGTCTGAGGTTCTGTCATTCATCAGAGAACTTTTTGAGAACCTTGTATGCGCCATATGCTGTCCTAGGCACAGAGATACGGCCATGGACAAAACAGAAAGACGGCTTGCCATCAGAGAGAGGGGACCCGTCACCCACCTCAGGAGGAAGTAAATGATTCTCTGGGTCAGAGGATGGGAAATGGAGAAAAGTAACACAAAGGCAGGGAGACAGGGGAGCAAATATGTGTGAGGATTAAGCCTGGGGTGCTCTAGCACTCAGCGTTCARGGGGAAATGCAAAGGAACCGTCAAAGTAGATTGGGACCGGGTGCAGTGGCTTATGCCTGTAATCCCAGTGCTCAGGAGGCTGAGGCAGGAGGATCACGAGTCCAGCCTCAGCAACTTAGTGAGGCCCTAAGCAACTCAGCAAGACCCTGTCTCTGAATAAAATACCAAAAAAGGGCTGGGGATGTGGCTCAGTGGTTAAGTGCCCCTGGGTTCAATCTCTAATATGAAAAATTTTTTTTAAAAAGAGCAAACTGGCAGGACCAGCCAGAGGTATGGCCAGGACTGCTTCCTTAATCCAGATGAGTCCAAAAAAGCACTCATTGGACTTGCAACCAGGGGCTCTTGGGAGAGCTGGATAAGAGCTATGGTGTACAGCGATGGGTCCTTGTTGGCATGGTCCCCAAGAAAGACGGGGGGRGGGGGTGGAATTGGGGCCAAGAAGGACAGAGAGAAGCAAAGAAAGAGGGCAGAAGCTGGTGGCCCTGACCCTATTTTCGCCCTTGACCCTCCCTACAGCCGCTCAACCATCTTTGTGCGTCTCCACACCAACGGGAATCAGGAGCTCCAGTATCAGCCTGGGGACCACCTGGGCGTCTTCCCTGGCAACCATGAGGACCTCGTGAATGCCCTCATCGAGCGCCTGGAGGACGCACCCCCTGTCAACCAGATGGTGAAAGTGGAGCTGCTGGAAGAACGGAACACAGCTTTGGGTAATGCTCCCAGGGACCCTTCCCCTTTCTGGGGAAGATGGGGGGGGGGGCGGGGGGGCAGGAGGACACATGTTGCCCTTCCCACTCACTGATCCAGGTGGGAGGGAGGGAGGGTCTGTTCCGACTCCAGCTTCTGAGACAGATGCCCCCTTTCTCATGGTTGCCCCACGTTGGCCTGGCTGTCGGGGCAGATGCCCATGGCTCATCAGTGGGAAAAGGGGTTCCTCCAAAATAGCTGCAATACCCCGAGTGAAGAACAGCTAACATCTGAGTCAGACTCCTCGGGATCCAAAGGTCCTACGGGAGGCTTAATGGCCAGTCAGCACCATGGCGTCCTTAGATCATGTTCCAACCTGTTGGGGGTTTTCCAAAGGCAGAGAGGGTCTCCGTGATTCATCTCCACAGCACAGATGGGCTGAAGAGTCCCTGGAGGTAGAAGAATCATACCTCAGTATCCAGGACCCACCCCCACCCTTAGACACCCAGATCCATAGACGCACTTGGATGTGCAAGTCCAGTACGTAAAGTGGAGTCGTTTTGGCGCAATACCTACATTCCTCTTCCTGCATACCTTAAATGCTCTCTAGATGGCTGGTGACATCTAATACAATGCAAATGCTCTGTGAATAGTTATTGTGCCATTTGGTGATAAGGGGGGAGGGGGGAGTCTGTCCACGTTCGGTACAGACCARAAAATTCCCAGCCAATATCTTCGATCCTCAGTGGAATCCACAGAATGCAGGGGCTGAGGATGTGGAGGGCTGACCGTGCAAGGTGGTCCTCAGAAGAAGACCCTGACACTTGTGAGACTCCCTGACTTCACCCTGGAGAGCCGCGTGGCCTGGGACAAATCTCTGAACCTCCCTTTGCTTCTACCTTTCTCAGTGGGGGATAAAAATAGCACTCACCCCGTGGGGTTGTTATGAGGATTAAATGAATTAATAGCATAAAGGGCTGAGAAGAGCGCTTGCCAGGTAGGAAGTGCTGGGTGCGTGTTAGTCATGCATGTCATTTGAGTCCCCCRCTCCCCTCCGGGGTGGTGAGAATTAACACCACGAGGGCACAGGTGCAGCCAGAATCGACGCCTGTCTCAGGCTCCGCCTGTTAATATTCTTTTCCTCTGCTCATGTTTATTTTTTAATTTTTGGCCTCATTGGCCTAATTGCGCACGTGAGGCACCCAGACAGTCTCCCGGGCCTGTGGAGGTGTGCAAGGTGGAGAGTCCACAGGTTACCCACTGGGCCCCCTCCTCTGCCCCAGCCGCAGGCCTGGTCCCCTGACGTGGACCCCAGCCCTCCCCGGACTCCTCACTCCTTGTGCCTCCCCCAGGCATCATCAGCAACTGGAAGGACGAGTCCCGCCTCCCGCCCTGCACCATCTTCCAGGCCTTCAAATACTACCTGGACATCACCACGCCACCCACGCCCCTGCAGCTGCAGCAGTTTGCCTCCCTGGCCACCAGCGAGAAAGAGAAACAGCGCCTGCTGGTCCTCAGCAAGGTGGGTCCCTGGGCTCCGCACACCTCCAGGGGGCACTTTTCCCCTCCCAGTGTTAGGGGACTSTAAAGCTGTTATTCCAACTGTCTTCCAGCAGTTGGCAGTCTTGAGCCATGGTCACCATTTTCTCATTTGCATATGGCCRCCATATTGGCCTGACCACTTTGGGTTAGGCCTAACCCCCTCCCCTTGTCCTGAGGCCTGACAGAACAAGAGCAGTCCCCTTGATGTTCAAAGTTCTCTGGCTACCGTGGAAATTGTCAGCTTCTGCCAACTGCCTTTGTTATCTGGAGCTTCTGGGAGCACCATTTTAGCCCATGCTTGGAAGAAAAAGGAACAGAGTGGCAGAGGRGYYAGAGGTAGAATGACTAGACATAGAGGCCTCTGGTGACCAACTTTACCACTCTTGCTTAGAAACATCATGGACTCACTTACCCCTAGCTGCTACACATCCTGCTCAGTAAGAATCCTGCCGAGGAGGACCACCCAGGCTCAAAAGATGGGTTAGCATTCTTCTGCTGTCCAGGAGATGGGACTGAATGKCAGGCACAAGAAAAAAGCTAGTTGGCAGGTGCACAGGATTCAGAGGAAGCAGACACAGAGTTATAAGTGGCTGCCTCTGGGGAGCTGGAAGCGTACAGGAGCAGGGGAACAGGAGGCCATTATTTTTAATCATAAGCTTGGCAGACTTATTTAACGTTTTAGACTATGTCCATGTAAAACTTTTATTTAAATGTTGTAATTAACAAGGGGATATGAGAAGGGCAGGATTATTTAAAGTTAGGACGTAACGCCACCAGACGTATAAGTCCATCTCTTCTGAATAGCACACCACTCTCCAAGGGCTGGAAGCAGTCTGTAGAAGCCAGACGTGGGCCCAGCACTGGTGATGAATGTCATTTGCAGGTGTATGTCCATCTAGGGCTCTTGGTCAGTTACGCTCCATCGGCTGGATGTCATCAAGGCTGTAGGCTGGACATGCACATTCCCAAGGATGCCATGCTTTTTGATAAGGCAAAGAGGGTCGTCAGGAGTGCGTCACACAAAGCCCTTGTAATTGACCTTACCCCTGGTCTCAGAAACTGAGTCTCTTATATCCACAAGGAACCACCCAGGGCGTTATCTGGGATGTAGGAGCCCCAGGGTCTCTGTGTTCCCTGGGAACCACCGGGCTTTGCTATAATATGCCCCCACATATGGTCCTCCACACCCGGGCCTGCTTTTCCTGGGCTGTCTGTCACCATCTTGAAATTGGMCATCTCTCCAAGGATGCATTTCCAGGCTCAGCAACCAAACAAATCTCGAGCCTGCCTTCCGCACCTGCTGCACCAGCSGGGACTCAGTATGCCTCGGCTCTCCTCAGGGTCAGGAGCACAGAATCTCAGGCCAGGCCGCTCCGAGCAGGGATTGGCAGACTTTTTCCTGTAAAAGTCCAGGTCATCAGTATTGTAGGCTCACGGCCCATTGGGTCTTTGTGACAACTGTTCGTTCTGCCATCATCATACAGCTGCGTGGATGATGGGACCATGTTCTCGTCCAACCACTCACAGACACTGGCGTGAATTTTATTGTACCATATTCTTATGCCATAAGGTATTGTTCTCCTTTTGATTTTTTTATTCCCCAACCATTTAAGAAAGTAAAAATTCTTTTTTTAAAAAAAATATTTATTTTTTAGCTTTAGGTGGACCCAATATCTTTGTTTTATTTTTATGTGGTGCTGAGGAACGAACCCAGTGCCTCACGCATGCCAGGTGAGCGTGCTACTACTTGAGCCACATCCCCAGCCCCCCAAAAAAACAATTCTTATCTCACAGGGGGCAGGTCAGGATTGGCGCACAGGATGAGGTTTGCCACCCACCCCCACCACTTAAGATTCAAATTCCAGCCATCGTCGCTGAGTAGCCACGGAACCTCTGTCATGTTCAATGTCTTCATCTATAAAATGGGGATGATCAAAATGCCTGCTATGGTCTGAAATTGTCTGTACCCCACCCCAAAATCATGTGTCAAAAATTCATATAGCCAGGGTGATGGCATCACGAAATGGGACCACGGGGAAGTGGCCGTGTCGAGAGGGCTCTCCCCRGTGTATAGGATTAGTATCTTTATAAAAGAGCCCCGAGGGAGCTAGTTCTCCCCTCCTGCCACGTGAGGACACATGGCAGGTGCTGTAGATGAAGAGCAGATTCCACCAGATTCTGCTGGCCCCTTGACCTTGAAGTTCCCAGCCTCCAGGACTGTGAGCACTGCATTTCTGTGGTCGGGATTCACCATCCTGAGGTATTTTGGTGCAGCAGCCCACAGGGACGAAGATGGTGTCTATTTGATAAGGTCCTCGGGCGATCAGATCCAGGAGCGGCAGGACTCCTGTGCACGTACTCCTCCTCCTTTGTCTCCCTGGACTCAACCTCTCTCCACCCTCTCCTTGGCGCAGGGCTTGCAGGAGTACGAGGAGTGGAAATGGGGCAAGAACCCCACCGTGGTGGAGGTGCTGGAGGAGTTCCCATCCATCCAGATGCCGGCCACCCTGCTCCTCACCCAGCTGTCCCTGCTGCAGCCCCGCTACTATTCCATCAGCTCCTCCCCGGACATGTACCCCGACGAGGTGCACCTCACCGTGGCCATCGTCTCCTACCACACCCGAGGTGGGCAGAGGAGCTGGGAGAGCCCCCCCCCCCGGGCTTCATTCCCCCCCAAGACCTCCAGAGGTGGTCTCTCCCTGAACCACTAATCACAGGCCAACCCCCAAATCCCCGCAGCGCAAGCAAACTGTCCTGGGGCAGAACCAAGCCCCAGCAGAGTTAGGAGAGAGGCCAGACGGGCATGTGGGAGGCTCCATCTCCTCGCACCCCAAGTCGGCAACGAGAACAGGCCACCCCACCATTCCCTGGGGGGGTGCTCTGTTGTAGCAGGTGCCAGGCTGGGTCAGACGACCCCACCTCTGTTCCTGTACTGTCCCTCCATGATCTGAAGATCTCTGTAACCCGGACCCCAGGGAGCCACCCAGACCACCCCGAGGGGGGTCCTTCCAGTGGATGGGAATGGAGGGTGCACCCGGGGCAGGCATGCAGCCATGAGCTCCCTTTGGCTCTACCGTCTCCTCTTCCCCTTCAGAGGAGGGGATCCCGAGTAGGAATTCCAAAGCAGAAATATGGGGTCAGCCTGTGAGCGTTCTGGCCTTGGAGGGAGGAGAAGCCATGCTGCTGGGGGGGAGGGGGGTAGATGCACCAGATCATCCTGCTTCCCCTGCTAGATGGAGAAGGACCAATTCACCATGGTGTGTGCTCCTCCTGGCTCAACCGGATACAGGCTGGAGAAGTGGTCCCCTGTTTCGTGCGGGGGTAAGTAGCCAAGGACAAAAGACRAACAGTCATCCCAAATGTGCATGTCGGTATCACAAGTTGAGGGCTGGGATGGACGGAATCAGCACCAGTTTCCCTCCCGCATTGCCCCAAGTTGTTTGGGTAACGAGATCTCGGGGCCGAGCAATACATGGAGCTAAGTGTGCCCTCTAAGCAAGGTCAAGTCAACGCTGTAGATATTTATCAAGTGTGCATTCTGCTCTGCATGCTGGGCAGTCAGGCGCAGACATCTCAGACGGGTGAAAAGTCTATCCAAATTCTTCTGGTCACCTTCAAACGGTTCCCRGTTTCTTAGAGATGGAGAAGATCCAACCATCCCATCCATTAGAGTTTCCTCCCCAACTCAGTTTTGGAGCTTCGACCTGTGAGGGACAGTGGTTCATCCCTCAGCAACTTCTCTCCCTGAATGCTGGCCTCAGCCAACCCTTCTTCTCAGCTGTTGGGGGTGGGATGTTCCCACTCAGTCCACATACCATTTTCCAAATCTCCTGGAGCATCTCAAAAATAGAGTYCTGAGCCCCACTTCGCTGCATCCCCAGAAATCTTCAGGTTTAACGTCTCCGGGTGGTTCTTTAAGCTCTGGTGTCCAGGGATCTCTGATTTAAGATCTCGTGGGTGGGTGTACCAGGGGTTCCCAGCCCAGTTCCCTGGTCCCAGGTGAAGAGCACTAGGTGGCTCTACGTGTCTGCGGGACTCGGGCGCCTGTCTACCTCAGGCTCCGCTGTCCTGGAAGGGATCTGACCTCAGCAGAGCTTCTGACTTTCTCTTCTTGTCCCAGTGCACCCAGCTTCCACCTGCCCCGAAACCCCCAGGTCCCCTGCATCCTGGTCGGCCCAGGAACTGGCATCGCACCTTTCCGAAGCTTCTGGCAGCAGCGGCAATTTGACATTCAACACAAAGGTGGGGTACAGCCCGGCAGCCTCTTCCTTTCCACCCTGAGTCTCGCAGCCCCAGGGAATGGCAGCAGCTTCTCCGTTGCCTCAATGCCTAGAAGGGGTGGGGGGAAGGCAGCCAAACAAATCTCCCACCGGGCATGGCCTCGCGGCTTGAAATTCCATGCCCAGGGATGGACGGCACTTTGATTATTTAAGGTACAGCCCCTCATAAAAATTCAAGCAGGGTCAGCCTGCGCCCTTATCAAATGGCTGTGTTGATGTGATTCTCCCGCGGACTCTGCTAGGTGAGAGCTGTAACAGTTGCATTTTTGGGAGAAGGAGACACCCCACAAGCGTGGCCCTGGTCAAACAAGGATTCCTCCAGCACCTAATAAGTGCTCAACCTGAAGGAAGGTGCTGGGTGGGTAGCAACCCATAAAACAGAAAAGCAACTCAAAAATCAGGACCTGCCCAAGAAAACATTGTCCTACAGAAAAGCTAACATTTATAAAGTATTCATTAARTGTGCCCAGTTTTTATATTGCACACTTATTTCTCAAGGTAATTCCATGATGTAGTTGTTACTATTACGACCGCCCCACCCCCCCGCCCATTCCATGAGTTCTGAATCTACAGGTTCACCAACCACAGGCCTGAAATACCCAAAGAAACCTATTGCATCTGTACTGAGCATATGCAGACTGTTTTTCTGGTTATGATTCCCTAAAAGATACTGTAACATCTATTTCCCTAACATTGACACTGTTGCGGTAGCATAGATCATCCAGAGGATCTGCAAAGTTTCTATGCAAATGCTGCACCATTTATTTAAGGGAGTAGAGCATGCTGTCAGGTTGGGGGATCTGAACAGGGTCCTGGGGTCCTTCTCCTGTCAATACRGAGGGACTGCTGGTTTCATTGTGCACAGGGAAAAACTGAGGCTTAGAGGTGCAGTTGGTTGTGCTTTGTCACACAGAGCAGGGATTTGGACCAGGTGTTGGAGCTCAAGTCTGGGCTCTTAGCGCTGCCTGATGGTAGAGGCTGATAAGTCGTCTAGGAGCCAGGGAAGGGAGATCCGAACACACCTGACCGCCTGCCCTGTTGTCTGTGAGCTTCTGCCTGCTCAGCTACCCCCTCATCAGGTGTCAGAGCCGTCAGTGACATGAGATCTTCCCGGCCCCCAGGAATGAGTCCCTGCCCCATGGTCCTGGTCTTCGGGTGCCGGCAATCCAAGATAGACCACATCTACAGGGAGGAGACCCTACAGGCCAAGAACAAAGGGGTCTTCCGAGAGCTGTACACGGCCTACTCCCGGGAGCCAGACAAACCAAAGGTAAGCCCAGCCCCGCCCACTAACGCACTCCTACGCGAACACACCCTGGCAAGTCCTGTCTTAGAGACCCCCTTGCCCTGTCTGAATCCCCTGCTGTGGATTGACTCCGCACTTGAGAAACCCGGGAGAGGGCATCTATTTTAAAATATTTAGCAGCCCATATTATAGGACTTTATAGACATGAAATGCTCAAAGCAGGAGCTGCACAGACCAAAAGCAGATTTGAGAATGTGCAGGACCAGGGAAGAGGGGTCACAGGGAGCCGGGGCCTGGTTTCCATTGGAGTGACACAAAACTCTGCAACTGGATAGTGGYGATGGCCGCACGACACGGTGAATGTCATTTAATGCCATGGAATCACGATCACGCACTTGAGCATGGTAGATTGTATATTCTGTMTATTTTACCACCATTTTTTAAAAGTTAGTTTWAAATAAATAAACAAATAAACTATTTCAAAAGTATAAGTTCACCGCCCGTCAGAGGTCATAGTACCAATCGGAATGGACTGGCCCAGGCTTCTGCTGGGTCTTAGAGATGTCCCCAGGGTCCCAGGGAAGGGGCTGGGGCCTCCGTGGCTGGCGGGCATGCAGAGCAGTTCCTGGGGAAGTCTGTCAATCTTAATGGCACCCGGGAGGTTGCAACTGAATGTGAGTCTCACCTGGCACGGAGTTTCCAGGACAAGTCAAACTGTRAAGGCCATGTGAGACGCCCCTGTGCCCCCTCCCGCTCCCAGCCCACCTATTAGCCCAGCCCTTGCTGCTTTAGCCAGTTCTGCAGAGGTGCAGGCCGGCCGCCCCCGTCTTGCCTCAGCCCTGCCGTCTGTCCTGAGGATTCGCCTGCGGCACCGCGGTGGGTACAGATGTTAACATCCGTGTGTGAGCAGCGGCCTCGGGAGAGGAGCACATGGATAATGCCTCTCTTCCTGGGGATGACTCTGGGACTCTCTCTCTGGCTCCCTGGAGGGTCCTCAGCCGACTTGAGCTCCGGTTGCCCAACGTGGGGAGTCGCTCCTTCACACCTTCCACCTTACCCATTTCGCTCTTCCCAGCTCCTGGCCCCTTTCCCCTGGGAACACCTGCAAGCCCCTGAGCCACGCCCTGCCCCTCCCAGAGCCCCGGCCCTCCTCACAGACCCTCCCCTCCCTGCAGAAGTACGTGCAGGATGTCCTGCAAGATCAGCTGGCCGAGACTGTGTACCGAGCCCTGAAGGAGCAAGGGGGCCACATTTACGTGTGTGGAGATGTCACCATGGCCGCCGATGTCCTCAAAGCCGTGCAGCGCATCATGGCCCAGCAGGGGAAGCTCTCGGAGGAGGATGCCGGAGTATTCATCAGCAGGCTGAGGGTGAGTGAGCAGCAGGCAGGTGTCTGGGTCCCTGGTCTCGTATCCTTCCGTCTCTTCTTCCCCCCCCACCTGTCGATAATTTGGGGAGCTGTGATGACATGTCACTTTTGCACTTAGGATTGAGAGTAGAGGTTATAAGGAGTCAGGGGAGGAGTCCCAAATCCTGATTGAGAAAGGAGGTAGGATGGCTGGGCATGCAGGTGCATGTAGTAAATATGGTTGAGAACTGTCATGTGTGGAAATAGCGAGTGGACCTCTAGTTAGTTATATAGAAATGAACTCAACCCAATTTTCTCTGCCCCCAGAACCAAGCTGCAAAACTGCCCTCTGCAGTTGTACAGGTAGAGCACTGAACAAAAAGATCTGTCCAAGGGAGAGACAGAGGTCTGAAAGCCACCCCATGCTTAGCTCTCTAAACCATGCACCTTGGCATGGAGCTGCGTCTACCCTGAAGGAAGGATCATTTCCTGATACACCCAAAGGTTGGGCAGAGACTGGTGATGGCTCAATCAGCAAAGTCCTAACCATGTGACCAACCTCCCCAAATCCAACACAGTCCCAGACCCCTACAGATCTCTAGGTGTGATCCCCTCCTTTCCCTTGCTTTCCTAAATGAGCAGTGATCGACAGGTTTATGGAAGAAGCCCTTACTCTAAATCTGATGCTAAACCCCAGGGAGATTTTAAAAAAGAGTTTCTGAGCAGAGCTGCGGAGCTGCCCTATCCTCRTCTCTCTGCCCTGATCCTCCTGCACGCTGTCCTGGGTTCCCCAGGACTCGGTAGGATACAGTTGAAAACCCTTCCCAACTAAACACAGACCCGCTCTACAGGTGGGTCCAGGGAGACTGGACCAGCACGGGGCCTGGCGGGCTGAACACGCCCCCGGCCACTGCCCYTCCTCAGCATCCAGATGGTTTTGCCTCCCGCCCCTGACTGCCCACCCTGCCAGAGGCACTCCCATGGCTTCCAGAATCCTTGCCTCCCCAGGGGTCCCCACTCTGGGCAGCTGTGGGGGTGTACCCTGGTGGCTTCCCAGCCACTTTTATTCCTCTCGACCCACTGATCTCCCCGCCCTGGGACATTTCCCACGGACCCCTGCCTTGCCCAGGTCTGAATTTGCAGGAACAGGTTAGAGGGAGGAGAGGGGAGAACGGTGAGCTTCCCGCTTGGCTTGGTCACTCTGGGTTCCACGTCTGCCCAGCTGTGGCCCCATTTCCGCATGGCAACACCAGCGTTCCACTGGACTAGAGCGGCCCCCTGCCCTCGAGGTAGAGTCTCGCTGACACAGAGCCTTGGAGATCAGAGGTTCCCTGGGGACACGCGGCTCAGCCTGGTGTCCACTCGGGGGTATCCGTCCTATCTACGCCCTTGGCAAGCCTTTGTCTGGCATCTGAGGGCCGTTCCCTGGCGGTTTCTGTCCCCTAGGATGACAACCGGTACCATGAGGATATCTTTGGAGTCACCCTGAGAACCTACGAAGTGACCAACCGCCTTAGATCTGAGTCCATTGCCTTCATTGAAGAGAGCAAAAAAGAGACAGATGAGTACGCCGGCCCCTCCCGGGAGGGGTGGGCTGTGTCYTCTCTTCTGTCCCGTGGACAGGGACGGCTGACTTGCCCACCATGGGGTCCCTGGGCCAGCAGCACACTGCCACCCTCTGGGGACCTGTTAGAAATGCAATTCCTGCGCTGCCCCAGACCTGCTCTATGTGCAGTTAGGGACCTGGGGCACCACCGCGGTCAGTCCAGGGAGGTCTGAAGACCCTGCTTAGCACGCGGCATCTGTCTGGGGTGCCCCCTACGGCTGTGGTGGCTCTCACTCTGCACCAGGTTGAGGGTGGCTTTCTCCTCAGTGCAATTTCAACTGCTAGAATGTTGGCAGTTTGACTCACCCCCTAGAAATGGCTGGAAACACAGACGGGGGTGATGTCTCAGCATGTAACCTTACCTTCACTCCGGGACACGGCAGCCTCGTGGCAATCTCTCTGCCCCATGCCCTCCCCGCACCCCGGCCATGTGCCCTGACACAGGCAGGAATCCAGCCGTCCCAGAGCACAAGGGCACACTCACACTCGGTTCTTACACTCGGCGATTATACTGTTTGCTCTTCGAAGCAAGGCACCTGTCTCCAGACATACTTTGTGCCCACTCGGCTCACAGGACCGCCTTTAAGATCACGCCCTCCTCACAGCTTAGCTGGGTGCCGTGGCACACACGCCTGTCATCCCAGGGGCTCAGGAGGCTGAGGCAGGAGGATCTCGAATTCAAAGCCAGCCTCCGCCACTTAGCAAGGTGCTCAGCAAYTCAGTGAGACCCTGTCTCTAAATTTAAAAAATTTAAAAAGGGCTGGGGATGTGGCTCAGTGGTCAAGTGCCTCTGAGTTCAATCCCTGGTTCCAAAAAAAAATCCCTCTGGGTTCCATCCCCAGTACCAAAATAAAATTTAAAAAAAATTTTTTAAAGAGATGGGGACGTCGCTTAGTGGTAGAGCGCTTGCCTGGCATGTGTGAGGCCCTGGGTTCGACCCCCAGTACAGCAAAAAATAAATAAATGAATGATTGTAAAAGATCACGCCTTCCTTGATTGTCAGAGCCCCTGGGTGGCTTCCCCCAGCTCCTGTGACACTAATGCCCGCCCTCCTCTGCTCCCACAGGGTCTTCAGCTCCTAAGTGGATTCTCCAGCCTAGAGGGACAGCAGGCGGCCACCCCAAGTGCTGCACAGGGGCGGCTGCGGGCTTCCGACGGGCGCACACACGGCTGCTCCTTTCCTCCAGGACCCCCGGGTCCCCGCTCTGCCTCTCGTCCTGTTGCTGTGTCCTGGTGTCCCCCTCTGGGTTCCTGCCCCCGCAGTGGCTTCCTCGGCACCCCCGGGTCTGCTCCTTGAGTTTTCCTGCCTCGACGCGACACCTTCGTACCCTGCGGTGGCTCTCCCGAAACCACGCCTCACTGCTGTCCTGCCGATGACGACGAGGGCAGATGGCGGGTGCATGAAACCACCGGATCGTGGCCACTGCTCCTCTGGGGTCTGTCTTCTGCTGTCCCCTGGGAAGGCTGCAGGTTCTGGACAGAAGCCTTCTGAGCTGGTCCCTCTGGAGTCCCCCCTCCTTTCTCACGATCCCCGTTTTGGTCGTGTGTGTGACGTGCGCGGGACGGGCCCGGGTCTCCGTCTGTCCTCTTGCCCGTGTAAGACTGTCCACCTTAGACCTGCGTCCACTGCCTTCGTGAAAGACCCTTGGTGCCAAGAAACGTGAATCCTCCTGTGTCTGTCATGGAGGGTCTGCGCTGACGTCCCTTAAAACACTCTGAGGCTCCCCAAAGAAGGGTTAGGGAATGAGGAGGGGGCTGTGGTGGTGGAGGGGACAGTCTCCCCGTGAAATGGCAAGTCGTGGATTCGATGCATCTGGATTCTGAGGCCAGTCGGTGGAGTCCTTACCATACCACCAAAGGCCTGGGCAGACCCCTCCCCAAGCCCACCTGCCCCAGCCAGCATGGCCCCGCCACGTTCATCGAGCCCTTCCCAGGGATCCCATCCTGGGGTCCACGGGAACCTGCTGGACATACCGTCTTCCCACTTGGCTGATACGGATGAGTCGYTTGTCCTAAGTTTCCCCGAATCAAATTGCTACCGACCTGAAAGGGACGAAGGGGTGGAGCCTAACGTTTCACAGCGTGGGCCTTCTGTCAAAGGGGAACACGGTGGTCATTATTTTCTTTTTCCTCCAAGCAGGGCTTGCGGCTTTACCTTAGGATAAAAAATACGTGGCGAGGTCAGATAAAAGGGATCTGAGTGGACGGAGGCCCCCTATGGATTTTTTCTCTAGGAACCCTGGGGCTTTCCGCTTTCTAAAATTGGCCTCTGGATTATTGAACCTGCCGAAATAATTTTTGGCAAATAAATAATACCTTCCACTCAGATCCAAAAAAAAAAAAACTGGGTAACCAAGTCTCCGGCAGGAATCAGGGCAGGTGGCCTGCAGAGTTTGCCCCCTGGGAGTGAATGAGGAGGGAGGTGCCTCCCACACTCAAGTGCTAAAATCAATGTCAGGCAGCGTCCAAATCCCATGACACCCCCCCCCACCTCACCCTCCAGGGTCCAGCGGTGGGTCCATTCTAGCCTTCTGTCATGTTGGTTTTGTTTTGTCCCACAGAAGAACTCTGTCCCCTTGAGGTCCTATGCAGGACATCGCCTTCCTGATGCTCAGTGTAKAGGGTGGACAGAGAGAAAGTACCACCGTGGCCCACGGGGAAGGGCTTTACCGRTGGGGTATCAAGACCCCAAGGATCTTGAAAGGACCAGCCACAGCTCATCTTCGCCCACCGTCCCCGGCAGCCCCCATGGGTGTCCCTGGCATCTGGAGTTTGTCCCAGTTCTAATCTCTCCCGCCTCCGGTTAACCCCAGGTTTTCTGGTTCAGGCTTCCACGGATGCAGAGACTCAGCCCTTGGTGTCCCGTAGCCACCCTTTCCCATCTGGAGGGAAGCCAGCTCCAACCTCCTCAGTCCTGCCAGCTTGATGCTGGGCTCCTAGTAGCTTTTCTCCCGGGCAYTTTTTAAATGGTTTTTCCAACCCTTTGAACCCTTGGGGACACTTTCTAAGATGTCTCTAGTTCCCCAGGACCGAATGATTAGGTCAACCTCCATCAAAGAGGAATCCATCACCACTTCCCTCTCCAAACCAAGTTTCCGCTGCTGAATGAGGAGCGCTTAGTGTGTGCCGGGCACCTGCCGCCTGTACACCTCTCCCTTCTAGAAGCTGGGGACAGATGGAAACATCTTTTCGTTTTGTCAGAGAGTCCAGAGAAATAATCATATAACCAGCATTCATCCTTCTGCCCAAGCAGGGCTTCTTTTTTTTTGTTTTTTAACCTCAGACACAAACAGCTTCATAACTCCCTGTTAGAGGACAGGAGACCAAGCTGATGTGTTTTTCTCCTGGGCGGAGATTTCCCACCCCAGAGAGCCCCACCCTACTGCTTAGCCCGGGGAAGAGGCAGCGACCACTGTGGGTTGAGCTCCGGTCCAGGGTGGGCGGATGCTGCCCCCTGCTGGCGGCATCTAGTYCAGTCCCCAGAACCAACCACAGGAGCAAGACACAGGTTAGCAATGGGTAAACCAAAGGGTTACCCAGGTAGGGGTCCCTTTATTTGCCTCTCCCTGCTAAACTGGTAGCTCTGACCATAACCCACCTCCCAAAAGTGGGTTTGTCCAGGAAGCTCATGAGAYAGTCCTGAAACAGGGACACAGGCACATCAGACTGTACCGTCCCCACTGTGACCACAGCCCCACGCCTCGTGTGGGGAAGAACACCGTTGAGCCCCCTGGGAGGAGAGAGGCCCTTCCTTGGTGTCCTGGGTGTGTGACAGCCAGGCGTTCTGTTTTGGTTTGGTTTGGTTTGGGGTTTTTTTGTTGTTGTTGTTATTTTTTAAGGGGAAACACTGAAGATCCACCAAAACGGAGTTTTAGAACAGACCTGGGTCCCTTTTTAAGCAGGTGGCCSTGATGACTTGACCTTTCCAGGTCTGTAGATCCTCCTGTCCAACAAGGGGATCCTGAGACGATGCCCAGGAACGGCACCCGGCCCAAAAGCCCACGAATTTTGATTTCTCACTTACTGGTACCATGCCTGGCCTCCCCGGGGTGTGGAAGGTGTCTGCAGAGACTAGCAAAGTGTGGCTGCTGCCCTGCAGAAGGCTGGAATCCGGTGGGCAGGGAGATGCCCTCAGGATGGATTGCGTGTCTGGGGCATGGGGGATGCGTAGGATTTCACCATGGACAATGGAAGACGAGTGGCCGCAGGGGGAGGAGGAGGAATCCGAGGCAGGCGTAGGCAGGGAGTGTGGGGTGCTTCGGGGCTGGTTTGGAGGCAGAGCCAGGTAGAACTGCTGAGGGGGAACCCTGGGACAGTGGCCAGGACCAGATAGCGGGGCGAGGTGAGCGGCAAAGCAGGGCTTAGACGGTGCCTAGTAGGTGACAGAGAGGTCCTGACGGGTGTCTTCCCCAAAGGGAAATGAAGGTGATTGGAATTATGTTGCCAGAGAAGGTTCTGACCACAGGCTAGAGTGTGCAGGGCTGAACCGCGGACGGACAGTTGCTGTCCCTAAGGCGTGAGCCAGACAGGAGGCAGCAGTAATGATACACAGAGTCCAGGGGCTGAACCAGCAGGACCGGATGCCCTTTGGACAGTGAGGATTAAAAAAAATTGGAGCTGTAAAAAGGTCGGGCTCCCAGGGAAGGTGAGTTTGCAGCCTTGACCCGACGGCCAGCTCTCTGCAGGTCCAGAGTGAGCCCTTCCAAGGTCCAACAGGGTCCAGATGCGCACCATGAAAACGGACTCTTAACTGGAGATGCTGGCCTAGGAACGGAGGCTCCTCCTGCCAACCRCTCCGAGCAGCCACCTGCTTTGGGCTTCCAAGGAGGTCAGGTTTTGCCCTAAGCCCACAACAAGGCAGTGCTGTTCTGACCTATATTGGGGGGCAAATGGTTCCTGCTGCAGCGGGCAAGCTAGCTGCCTGCGCCACTCCACARCCCCCGCCCACCCGCAGCGCAGCCGTGGGGCACAGTGGGCTCCGGGGTTGGGTTTCAGTCCAGCCGCGGTTCCTGAGTGGTTCCACCTCACTCCCCGGGTCTCCAGCAAGAAGTCTTGCCCCCAAGCCTCTCGCCAAAACATCAAGTCGCCCAGGACTGCCGGCAGGAGTCTTCCCCACGTCTCCAGGATCGAATGTCCCCTTGGGCTCCAAAATTCCAGGCCAGGAGCCGGGATGGGAGGTCTAGAGGGGCTGAGAGCTGGCCACCCCCCAAGGACTCGACAYCAATGGTCCCGTCGTGTGGATTTTGGCTTTCAGGAGCTGATGCTGGCCTGGTCCCCTCTCCCTCTCTCACTGACCCATCCTCAGCCCACCCCCAGTCCCCACCTGGTGGACAGAGGACCCAAGCAGTCCTCATTYTCCCCCAGACCCTCTGTGACTCCAGCATGGGATCTGGTAGCCTTCAGTGTCTGTTCCCCGTTGAGCGTCCCAAATCTCCAATCCAGAATGCCTCCAAATCCAAAACTTTGGGCACCCACACCGCAGTGCAAATGGAAAATTCAATTTATGCACAAAACTATTAGAAATATTGTATAAAGCCACCCTCAGGCCATGCATATGAGGGGTATATGAAATCTAAATGAGTTTCCTATTTAGACTTGGTCCCACCCCCCCAAGATATCTCATTATGTATATGCAAATATTTCCAATTTTTTTTTTTTAAATCCAGAATCCAAAACACCCCTGGTCCCAAGGACTTCACCTAAGGGGCATGCAACCTGTAATACTGGCAAGGGAGATGGTCCAAGTTTACATGCCTTAGCGAATTTATGAGTTCGTTTTGTCCCTTGAAATATCTAAATGGTTCTGGTCAAGCAGGCACATCTAATTCAGTGATGAGCATGGTGGCCTTGGCAGGCAGGGGACAATGCCTTGGCATGCTGCTTCCTGAAGTCTTTTCGACAATGACTCCATACATGCAAGTGCCCAGATTTGGCTTCGAACCTCCCAGAGACTCTAATCCTGAGCCCATCAACCTCAGCATTATTGGTGTTTGAGGCTCGGCCATTCTTTATCACGGTGGCATCCCGGGCGTCATAGGATGTTGAGTAGCATTGGTGACACGCACCCAAAAGTTGCTGATATCCATCTCCTGCCAATCGTGAGAACCAAATGGGTCATTGCACAGTGTTCATTGTCCCCTGGGCAGGCAGCGTCTGGCACCCCTTGGGCTGAGAACCACGGCTCCTGGCCATCGGGGACAACAGGATGCCTACCAGCCACCCCAGGCCTTCCCATTACAGACCTCTTGGAGAAGGTCATCATCCACTGCCAAACCGAGATTGAAGGACTTACGCAGCTTCACGAGCCCCCCGCTGCACCAGAAAGATGGGGGGGCTCTGTTTTGCTAAGATGCTCCGTCCTGGGTGTCCATTCTAACCAAGCCCCTGGTAGCCTGGTGCAGTCTTGTGCTGGCTCTGAGGTCCCCTTGTGCTCCCCATCATTTTTGTCACTGTGTTGTGGTTGTGACTGTCATTACCCACTCCAGGCTCACGGGTGGTTTTCTACAAGGACCAGAGAGCTGGACGGGTCATCGTAGGTGTCCACTCTGTACCCGTAGGTGTCCACTCTGGGCCTGGGGAGGCTGGGGAGGTGGCCGGAGCTGGGGTCCCCTCTCTCACACACACACACACACACACACACACACACACACACACACGCTGTCAGGAACTCAGATGCCCCTACCTCTGAGCTCTCAATGCTGCTAACCTGCCCCGTGTCCTGTGTGCTCGCCCCAGCACTTTCCTCAAGGACCGACGCCCACCCCGTGCCCTTTGCGAGTTTGGCGCATGCTCTTCTTCTGTATAGTCCTCATCTTCCAATTTTATGGGATGTAACAGAAGTCTACATCTGCCTGTTTGCATTATGGTTAAAATATTAAAAAAGTGGACTCGACTCGGCCGGCTCTTGTCTTCTCTGTGGCTCGTGCTGGGAACGTCTCGTGCCTCTGCCGGCTGGGAGGGTGCCCTCACAGGCTGGGTGCCCCCGGGCAGCGGGCTCTGAGGCAGGGCTGGCAGGAGGCTGGTAAAGGGGGGCTACCGGGCTAGGGAAGGGAAGGGGTGGGAGTCCAGCCGGTCAGAGGGGAAACCTCAACGGAAGCCTCTGCCAATCAGGCAGGGGGGATCTAAAGATGGCATCTAGAGGGTGTCCCGATTTGGGACTAAAGAGCCATGTTTTAGACCCTCCATCCCTGCTGTAGAGGGGTGGACCAGAGGCCGCCGGGGAGGGAACATGGCCATTTGGACCCTGTGGCCTTTTGACAGCTACCCCCATTTCCCGATCATCAAAACCACTTTAGACATTCGGCTTTTTAAATTACAAGGTAACTTCCCCCAGCCGGGTGCGGTGGTGCACACCTGTCATCCCAGAGACTMGGGAGGCTGAGGCAGGAGGATCCTGAGGTCAAAGCCAGCCTCGGCAAAAGCGAAGCCCTAAGCAACTCGGTGAGACCCTGGCTGGGGATGTGGCTCAGTGGTCGAGTGCCCCTGAGTTCAATCCCCAGTACACACCCAGACACCCCCAATTAGACACCCATCCCTGAGCCTCATGTCCAAGGTCCTGTTCAAGATGAAGATCAGAGACAGAGCAGAGTCAGGGAACTCTTTCCAGTATTAGCTTGCTGTATTAGCTCATTTGCCAGTTACAGTGGTATAATCACCCCAGCTACTTAGGAGGCTGAGGCAGGAGGATTGTAAGTTAGAGGTCAGCCTCAGCTCTTTGCAAAACCCTGTCTCAAAACAAAAGATAAAAAGGGCTGGGGGTGTAGCCAAGTGGTAGAGCACTACCACTGACAGAACAAAAAAATATACACACACATATATATTAGCTAATTAAAAGGATGGGGAACAGTTATAAAAAGCCAGTCTTCACACAAATGCTTTGGCCTCATATMATTCCCAGTCATGCTTAAGGATGAGAATAAGGTCAGGGAAATTCATCAGCATGTTGCTATTCCAGACTTGACTGCATTTTCCCCAGTAAAAGCCTGGGAGACTAAGACATAGGGGAATCAGATAGCTTGTACCAGTTCAATACCTAGTAAATGTCTGTTTCAGCCCAAGAAACTGCATTCTTGTGCGTCACCCACGCTGCTAAGACACCCAGACTGTTTTGATTCAAATCCCAGCTCCCGCACTTCTTAACTGTGCAGCTTTGGATTAAATTACCCAATGTCTCTGTTCCTCCCTTCCTTCAGCATAAAGCAAGTGGTGGTTGTTGGGACTGCATCGGTTTGTGATAGGAATAAATGAGATAATACACCAATACACTGAGATGGAATGGAATAGAATGGAAAAATAAACAGGTCCAAACTCCTTCTAATTTCCTCCCCTTTTTTTTTTTTTTTCTTCTAGAAGTTTAAGCAGCCAGCCCGGAGGTCCTCTGGACTTTTCAGACCACTTGCTGTCACAGGTCACCTCTATAAAGAGGCAGTTCCTGCACCCTTCTCCCCCTCCTGACCTTGAGCCCTGGAGCAGGGGAAGACCTGGATGCCCGAGGGTTTAACCTGCTCCCYCCACGATTCCCACACACACTGGGATTTGGGCAGGACCAACCTCAGAGCCCAGATAGGCCCCCTCCGACTAGATGGCTTCTGTTGCCTGGCAACCAGGTGGAAATTTTAAGTTTACACCCAAACAGAACCTTCCCAAGCACAGATCACAGGAGAAGGGGGTGGGGGACCAGGGTGGGGTGGGGAGGGGCACGGAGATTAAAGGACTTTAAGCCACAGCAGATTGGTCAAGCACACAGGCTTCGCTGTCAGTCATATAGTAAAAATGTATTTATTGTTTTCTTTTTTTCCATCCAACCCTTCGMAATGTGGCCCAGAAAATGAAAACAGGAGTGTATTGGCCATCGGGTGGATCAAAATAGTGTTGAACCCACATCAGCAAAAGGAAGCCTCTTTACACAGGGCCCTCGGGAGGAGAGGGTGGCTCCTCGTGCCATAGCATGTAGCTGGGTAAAGCACCGTGGGAGAAAGTCTCAGGACAGACCATAAGCTTGAAGGAGGCCCCATGCTCTTCCCTGTAGCATGAATTCAGCATTATGCCTTGTGCAATGGAATCTCTTTTGTTGAACAAGTTTTGAGAAAAGTCACCACTGGGAATGCAGTTTTCCACTGAAAGCTTTTGGCCACATCTATGTGGAGACACCTCTTCCTCTTTCCTCCAAGGTGGAGGAATTGCCTTCCTTGAAAAGCACAGAAGTTTCCTTGCCCTTTCCACCTTCCAGAAGCTTCTAGAAGCTTCTGCCGCCATTGCTTCACTGATGACCCTGCCTCACTCGAATCTCTGCTTCTTGTTGCCACATTTTCTCTCTCGGACTCCGACCTTCCTGCCCCCTTCTCCTGAGGATTCTTGTGAGTTTACTGGGCTCAGCCAGATAATCTAGGATAATCTCTTTATCGCGAGTTTCCTAACTTAATCACTTTGGAAAAGCCTCTTTGGCCAGGAAAGGTAACGCATTCAACAGGTTCCAGGAATTAGGAATATGGGGGTCCTGATGCAGCCTAACAGAGTCCACCCCCCAAAACCCCCAAAAGATTCCTGTCTGCCTCACATGCAAAGTAAAGTCAGCTCAACTAACGCATTTTCAAAACCCATTCATTCATTCACTCATGGGAATACAAGGAGGGCCTACTCTGTGCCTAATGCCGACCAAGAGAGTCAAACAGAAGGTCCACATCCTAGTGGGACGAGAGATCTTGCTCCTTGAAGGAAAAAAATAAAAAACTTGAAGAAAAAAAATAACAAAGAATATGCTCGAGAGGGGGAAGGAATGTGGACAGGAGGGAAAAGCAAAGTGACGGCGTTGAAATAAGGTGACCAAGCTAACCAGGGAGGATGATCGCAGTGAGGTAACTCCAGGACACTCTGGGAGCAAGAGGGCAGGGACCGGGGATTAGTGGATCCGGCAAAGATATCTGTAGACATCCCTGTAGATATCGTGAGGCTCTCGCACACCCTGCAGTATTTTCAAAAGATACTGGAGCAGAATTGGCCAGGGCCCTGCTCTGGCGGAGGTTACTGTGTCCTGGGAAGAGACACCGGTGCCATTAAGCTGATGAAGTGGCCTCTCGGTTGGAAAGGCCCCCCCAGCCCCCTGCGGTGCTCACTCCCGACCCTCCACCCCRTGAACCTAGCGGGCTGCTCCCGGGGTGTTCTTTTTTCTAAAACAGGGCTGGCTTCCAAACAGTGTAAGCTCCAGGCCCCGCGAAACCCAGGTGTGCGCRTCACCCTCAGCAGTGTGTGCGTTCTGACGGTGTGGGGACACACACTGCAGGACAGACAGGGACTTGGTGAAGGAAGGAGACAGAAGAAGCTGCCCAGTCTGTGACCCGTGGAGCAGGGCTGGAGGGGAAGGCAGGGGCCTGTCGTCGGGAGAAGAGACAAACCAGGGAAGAAAGGCTGTGTCCCCAGCCGTCCCTTGGGAAGCCCWGGGAAACCTGAGTACACCCCTCAAGCTGCATTTGGTTTTGATTCTTTGCTTTAAATTGTGTTTACAAATCACTAAGTTCGAAGGTCACAGGGTTGAGCTGTGTGTCTCCTGCTAGCTCTGCTGTAGGTGACCTCTGTGACATCTCCTGGGTGTGGATGATAAGGGTTACCTAAGTTATTTTTCCAGGACTCCAAGGCCACTTTTGTCAAAACCACTGACTTCACTTGGGTCTCTGCAGGTATCTGATGGGTGACCTTTGACCTCAGGAGGCCACACACTCTTCCCTCGGTTTTCTGAATGTGCCCCCTCCAAGAGCCACGGAGATCACTTATGGCTCAACTCCAGTCTCCTTCACTCATGCCTTCAATCACCCCACTTTTTACCCCATAAACACCCCCAAAACCTATCCTGGGGAGGCAGATTTGAGACTTGGGCTCTCATCTCCATGCCTGGCCACCTTGAAAATAAACTTTGCCTCTTTTTCAAAACTCGTGGCTTCAGTGATGGCCCTATTGTGACATCAGCCACATGGGCCTGGATCAGTAACAATCAAATCCCTTCTATCAAATGGCATAGCTCCATAAAATTCCTGTCCATCCTCCATACACCAGAAGTCGTCCCAGATCTCCTCGAATACCTGTGCCGTGTAAAGGCTCTGCAGATAGTTGTTATTCTGTATGGAAATTCTGACAAGAAAAGGTCTTGGGGGAGTTTGGAACCTTTCTGATCCCTGTTTGGTTGGTTGGTTGAATCTGCAGATGTGGACCCTGTGGGTCCTGAAGGCCAGCTATATTTAGAGTGAGAAGGTTTCCAGGCAGATGGAAGCTATCGCTAACTCGATTATGGAGACTTCACGGGAGAGGGATATTGAAGCCCAAGAGCCAAAGACAACCAGAAGGACACTTTGAGTCCAACCAAATAAGTTTACTTCCTTGCTGAAGCAAAAGAGAACATGCCCTAGAGGATTCTGGGTGGTGGTGGKGGGGGGCAGGTAGGATGGAGCCCAGAGCGTGTTTTTAAGCAAGGACTAGGCGAATGGGGACCAGGTCCTGGGATACATTCAGGGAGTAAGGAMAGTTCGGCAGGAGAATTTTGTAGAGTAAAAATAAAAGAAACCTACTCTCTCCCCACCTCCATGCTGGGGATAAAATCCAGGGCTCCTGAATGCTCAGCAAGTATTCTACCACTGATTTGGGAGCATTGGATACTGGGGATTGAACTGAGGGTGCTACATCCCCAGACTTTTTTTTTTTTTGGGTTATTTTGAGACAGGATCTTGCTAAGTTGCTGAAGCTGGCTTTGAACTTTTGATCCTCCTGTCTCAGCCTTCGGAGTAGATGGGATTACAGGCATGTGCCACCCTTGACTTCCTTTCTTCAATTCTTTGTTACTATATCTTCTGTCCCTTTGATAGACGTAAATTTTGTGTGTGCATTTTTTTTACTGTATTACATAGGCAGAATTGAATTTTTTTTTTTTTGGTACCAGGCATTGAACTCAGGGGTGCTTAACCCCTGAGCCCCATCCTCAGCCCTTTTTAATATTTTATTTAGAGACAGGGTCTCACTGAGTTGCTTAGCGCCTGGCTAAATGGCTCCTGCCTCAGTCTCCTCCGGAGCTGCTGGGATTACAGGCGTGCACCACAGCGCCCGGCCATCTTGACCATTTTAAAATGTCTAATTCCTGGCATGAAGAACATCACATAGCTTTGCATCTATCGCCGCTATTCCCAGAACCTTTTCATCACCCTGAACAGAAATACTATGCCTGTTTATAAATAATTTCCCCTCCCTTCCTTCTTCCCAGCCCCCAAATGACCTCTGATCTACATTCTTTCTGAGTTTACCTATTCTCCGTGTTCCATAGGTAAGTGGGATCATACCATATWAGTCCTTCTGTGTCTGGCTTTCTTACTCAGCAATAGGTCYTCAAGTTCATTCACGTGGTAGCGTACACCCCCTTTCTATGGCCAGACAGCGTTCCCTTTCATGTCTACACTGCACTTTATCAATCTTTTCCAAGGCTAAACAAACTTCTTGCCGGTTTGACCCACGAATGTTTTTCAGCCAGGGCCTGCACTCCATCTCTTTGAAATGTAATTATCAAGGAAGACATTGTCCCTACCTCCCTGTCACTGTGGGGGTTTAGTTCAAGCTCTTTGTTCCAAACTGTAACCACCTGTGTCTAAAGATTTGAGAAGTTTTATTGTTCCTTGAGGCACCGGCAATTGGCCAGCACAGTGGGTACCGGCATTAGCAGGCAAGTCTAAAATGAACTAAGAATGTATCCTAAATGAGAAGGTCAAGTGCTCTTGCCCGAGGGCAGGTTAGCATGAAACCAGAGAGCTCAGATATACTGCAGGGTTTGGCTGCATATTTAAAAAAAAAAAAAAAAAAAAAAGTAGGATTACTTTCCAAGTTTATGATTTCTTTAACACATTACCTGTGAGATGTGGCCCAGTCTGGCTTAATGATTATTCAATAATAAAGCCTCCTTCTAGGGATGGGGATGTAGCTCAGCAGTAGAGTGCTTGCTTAGCAGGCGTGAGGCCCTGGGTTCCATCCCCAGCCTTGCAAAACACAAAAACCTTTTATCCTGCAGCTGTGCAGGGGGTCTCTTGGGTTGACAAGAGACTGCTTGTTCCCACCAGTATCTTGGTCATTTTTGATCAGGACACAACCAAATTAGTCAATAAGGAAGCAGCCACAGCTCATAAGCTCCCCCTGAGCAGATCATCTCACCAGCCCTGGGGTCTGCCTCCCGGGCTGATAGGAACCTGTTTAGCTGAGTACAGTCAAGATTGGTTTGCAACTTGTCAGGGTCAGGGCCACATCAGGGCCTGGGTTAGAGGCTGGGGAGACAGAAGGAGGTGAATTTGTGCAGCATTTGGTATGGTCTTTGGGAATCTGAGCCTGAAGTCATCTTTCCTGCTCTGAACACGAGTTACCCACTAGCAGACAGTTTCTCTTCCCACACTCAAATGCAGGCACCCATACCCACACTTGAACTTCGTTTTTCAATTTGAGTCTGATTTTAGGGAAGAGCTGGAGCAGGCAATGGGAAGAGTCAGAGGCGCTGAAGTGGAGTACTGTGCATCTGCCCAAGATCCCAGCCCACAGTGGCCTCCCACCAAGTGACATTCCCGTGGGCCCTGGATACACTCACCCACACCCCATACTTCCCCAGGAACACACTTTTTTTTTTTTTTTTTTAAAGAGAGAGTGAGAGAGGGGAGAGAGAGAGAGAGAGAATTTTTAATATTTATTTTTTAGTTCTCGGCGGACACAACATCTTTGTTGGTATGTGGTGCTGAGGATCGAACCCGGGCCGCACGCATGCCAGGCGAGCGCGCTACCGCTTGAGCCACATCCCCAGCCCCCCCAGGAACACACTTTTATTGAGCACTTTCTCTGTGCCCAGCAGTACGCTCCACACTTGGGACACAAATCTACTCACTCACTCCTCCCAATGACCCCAGGAGGCAAGCATTTTTATTATTCCCAATTTACAGGTGAGAAAACAGGGCCTCACAAAAGCTAAGTAACTTGCTCGAACCAAAGAACCGGCAAGACATTTGCAGGGACAGACAATTATTGAGAATCTGCTACATGCAAGGTCTGTGCCTAGTAAACTGACATCCAGAGGTGACTTTTATGACCCTGAAGTCACTGCAGATCCAGCGGGAAAGAGACAGGATGAATAAATGGTTATTAATTAAGGAAATAATTACAAGACTGAAAAAATGCAGTGGGGGAGCGGGGAAGGAGCAATATTTGGTGCTGGGTTGTGGAAAAGGAGAAGCTAAGCTTCCCCGGGAGGAAGAGGAGTCTTGATGAGAACAGAGAGGACGAGGAGGCCTTGTATTCTAGGCTGCAAGAATAGTATCCAACAGAAGGACAAAAGTGGGAGGAGAAAGGAGACCAGCTTATCCAGGGACATGAACAGCTAGTGGAGAAGGGAATGGCTTCAGATAGGCCAGCAGAGGTGGTRTTTTTCCCTTTGCAACAATGTCACAGATTTCAGATTTATTTCTAAGGTCATTTTTCTAGTTCAGCTTTCTCAGGGCATCCTGATTTCCTAGTTGAGGGGACTACTTCACCTTGGCCTCTAGATACTGACAACAGGTCTTTCTAATACTAGTTGGAATTTGAGCTCTTGGGGCACAAGGACTCTGTTTTTTCTCACCTCTGTATCTCTAGGGTACCCAGCACAGGGCCTTGTACTGAACTGGAGTTAAAAAAAAAAAAACAACAAAAACCAGAGTAGATGCAGGTATTGAAAACACGCACCCACACCTGGGTGGTCAATACTGCTTTAAACGTTCAAGTCCAGGTTTTTGATCCCTGTGACTGAATCAGTAGCTACCATCCATAGGAGCCCTGTTTCCCTTATCTAGAATATATGGGTCTATATATGGTAGAATGGGCATGCAGGACACAAATCTGGAGGCTATGATTACTGCCCTTCACTATCATAGAGTGCTCTGGGGAAGAGTCCTCGGAAAGCAAGCAAAATGCGTGGCTCAGTACCCAAACGAGATCACTGTTTGCTCTCATTACATCATATGGGTGAGAGCAGAGTCCAGCGGCTCTGGATAGAATCTAGGACAAGGGGCCCCATGCAAGTCTTGTCACTTCCTGAACCTGTTCCCCGGCTGTAATTTGGGAAGAAGGCTAGTTCCTAAGGTTTGGGGGGGGGAAGAGCCAATGAACTACTGCACAGGAAGCTCTCGTCACACATGAAAATATGCATAACTTTTACTGTTCAATTTAAAAACATAATTCATTCTACAATATCAATGCCACTGTCGTCTTGACTGGAAGTAATGCCAACTCTCAACCCCTGAGCCATTTTTTCCCCTTTTGGAGTCCCAGGCTAAGGGAGGGGGTGTGGCTCYAGAATGGGCGGAGCTACCTGACCCCGCCCCCTAGACCGAGTGGGCGGGGCGAAGCGAGCGTCCCAGCGCGCGCGCGCGGCGGCCCCAGGTACGCGGACAAGATGGCGGCGGCAGCGGTCGACAGCGCGATGGAGGTGGTGCCGGCGCTGGCGGAGGAGGCCGCGCCCGAGGCGGCGGGCCTCAGCTGCCTGGTCAACCTGCCGGGCGAGGTGCTGGAGTACATCCTGTGCAGCGGCTCGCTGTCGGCCTGCGACATCGGCCGCGTCTCCAGCACCTGCCGGCGGCTGCGCGAGGTGTGCCAGAGCAGCGGGAAGGTGTGGAAGGAGCAGTTCCGGGTGAGGTGAGCCACGGCCCCGCGCCCCCGCCGGCGCCCCCCGGGCCCGCCGGCCGCGGCCGCCGCACCCCGCTGCCCGCGGCCGYCCGGCGCGCGGACCCCACCCCCGGACCCTTCCCGCGGCCCGCAGACAAAGGCCTCCAGGCCGCCGGCCCCGCGGGCCCCGCCGTGCCCACCTCGCGCGCCCCTCGGGCCGGCCCTCGGCCGAGGATGGCGGCGGCCGCGGCGCACGCAGCGGAGCCGCGGTGCGCGCTTCTTTTGTGCCCGACGGGGCTCGGTGTTGACGCGGACCCAGTGATGCGGCGACCCAGCGGGCGCAGCATCCCGGGCCCGGGGTGGACAGCACCGATTTCCGCGTCCGGCCCTGCGTGCTCCCCGCATGACCTTGTAAGGGTAGCGGCTCCCCCTTTCTGAAGCCTCCCGCCTCGGCTCCGGGCGGCGGGACCCCCCCAGACCTGCCTCGGACCGCGGCCGTTAAATGAGATGATGTGCGGAAAACACACACACACACCCAGGGCCCGGCGCGCCGTCCCTGCGAACTGTCATTGTCATCATCTAGGACTGTTGCTGCCACAACTGCCCTCCTTTTAGAGGTGGGGGAGTGGAGGCACACAGCCCGCAGTCGCCACGCCAAGGTCACACCGTTTGGGTGAGTGCGTGGACGCCGGGTGGAGACTCGAACTAGGTCCCCTGCCAGGAGCCCCCTCTTCCCACCGGGCCGGCTGGCCGTGTCTGTTTCCCAAGGCGGCCTGTGGGTCTCTGTGAAGCTGAGGGGGTGTTTCTCTCCTTGTAGGTGGCCTTCCCTTATGAAACACTACAGCCCCACCGACTACGTCAATTGGTTGGAGGAATATAAAGTTCGGCAAAAAGCTGGGTTAGAAGCCCGGAAGATTGTAGCCTCGTTCTCCAAGAGGTTCTTTTCAGAGCACGTAAGGATCTGTTGATGTAGCTCTAAGCATTCGCCTGGTAGTGGGGTGTGTGTGTGTGTGTGTGTGTGTCCGCGCGTGCGTGTGTGTCTGGGTTTGTAGGCATTAGCTCATCCGGCTCTTGTTGATATCTCCCTGTTCAGTGCTCTCACAATCCCTTACTCACTTCCATGGCTGCAAGAGTCATTGTGTCCTTTCCCTCCCATCCAAACAACACGAAGCCATTTGTCCCTGCCAGCTTTACTTTTCTAAAGCCAGAAAGAGAATGGGGGTGGAGGGAGTAGGGAGGGCCCGCAGCACAATGTGGAGGGAATCCAGATCAGCACTATTTCTCTTCAAGTAGGTTAAATGGTTTTTTTTTTTTTTTTTTTGCAACCTCCACATGATTTGGGGAAATCATCAATGATTGAGCACCATAGATTTCTCCCAGTTGTCTTCCCAGAAGGGTTGACAGAGTTAATGTGGTTCTTCCCTCTGGCTTTGCAGGTTCTACCCAGCATCTAACTGCATTATTTGTAGGTAACAGGATGAAAACCTACATATAGATCAGAGTTGTTTCTCCCTTAAATAAAATTGTCTTGCATTCAGTATCCCTTCGAAGTTTTCTTTCTTTCTTTCTTTTAATTGCTGAAATGCACAGTTTTTTTTTTTTTTTGGGGGGGGGGTTATTTTTTTCCCCTTCCCCAAAATGTCTCATGGAAGTTTCTGTATCCATTCCTGATTCTTAACTTTTTGCAACTCTGGAAAATTTTGAAACTGACATTTTTAATTCAACAAACTATTAGATTTTCACTTCTGATTGGGGGGGTGTCTACAAATAGAACTGATCTTATTTATGTTTACTGAAGGTTATTTACTGAAGATTAGTTCTGATGTTCTAATTTTAACTACTGCTAATGGAGTATACACATTGGAAATGTTTCCAAGTTGTTTCAGGTTTTGAAAGGGAAATTTTTGAACTAATTTGGACTTATTTCCATTTGGGTAATAAAAATTGACATTCCCTGGGCTGGGGATGTGGCTCAAGCGGTAGCGCGCTCGCCTGGTATGCGTGCGACCCGGGTTCGATCCTCAGCACCACATACCAACAAAGATGTTGTGTCCGCCGAGAACTAGGAAATAAATATTAAAAATTCTTTAAAAAAAAAAAAAAAAATTGACATTCCCTGAGTATAATTCATTGCTACAAATGTTTGTTAATGTTAGAATGAACACAATGTAAGTTCTACTTTGGAGAGGTTATGCCTTGGCTAATTCATAATCACAAATGGTGAATACTGGTTCACGTGTGTTTGCCCTAGGCATGTTTGATGCAGTTGGTCCTGGGCTACTACTAGGTTGCAACCTCACCTTCTTGTCCAGCTGGTTTTGTGTGCATTTTTAACATTCTGAGCCTTCACCTAATAATGATGGATTGTGCTTTTTTATCTCTTAGTTCTCTCTTTCCCTGTACCACTACTTAATTAGAAGTATGTAAAGGACTTTGAACACAGCAGGAGCATACTAAAGATTGATCTGTGGGTGGGTGATTGCTTTGGCTCAGGACCCTGAGCATGCACACAGGTTGACCTGGCTACCTTTAAAAAAAAAAGTGAAAGAAGTCATATGTGTTTTAGTGAAGATCTTGAAGCTCATCATTCTACCTGCTCCAGAGGAAAAAACACACCCAGCAGGTTAAAGGAGCACCTACTCCACCAAGCTTTTGATGGCTCTTGCCCTCCTCCCACAGTTGTGTAAAGCATAGACTGCTGGAAGTGGTATTGTAAATGATAAGATTTTGTAGTTCTAGTCCTTAAGAGCTATTTTTCTTAACATTAGAATTCACTTTCAGCAATTTCCAGTGTATGAAGAGGTAATTAATTTACAAGTCACATGGAAAACTGAATAAATGTTTGAGGTAGTATAGAATAGCTGTCAACCACTGTCCACAGAAGTGGGCATCTGTGTATGCAGATCAGATTTGTGTGAATGACAACAGCATTAATCCTCGTAACTGAGGCCTGCTTTTGTATGTCCTCTTCATAGGTTCCTTGTAATGGCTTCAGTGACATTGAGAACCTTGAGGGACCAGAGATATTTTTTGAGGATGAACTGGTGTGCATTCTAAATATGGAAGGACGGTAAGCCATAACTTTCACAGAGTTTTTTTAGGTTTGTTTTAATAGTAATAATCCCAGAGTAAATTGCTATAATTTATATGTGACCAAACCTTGGAGGAATATGTTTCCAAGGTTGTTTGGAAAGTTCTGTGAGTACGAAGTTAATACATCAAGACGACTGATGTGCAATCAGCTGTCTGTATCTATGGGTTCTGTGTCCATGGAGTCAACCAGCCTTGGATCCAAAATAGGGGAAAAATATGTCTATACTAAACATATACAAACTTGTTTTTCTCTTGTCATTGCTCCCTAAACAATATAACACTATTTTACATAGCTGTTACACTGTATTAGCTATTGTAAGTAACTTAAAGGTGATTGAAAATGTAGGAGGACATGCGCAGTTTTCAATGCAAACACTGCATCATTTTACATAAGGAACTTGAGCATCTGCAGAGTGTGGTGTCCAAGGGCAGTTTCTAGAACCAATCTACCACAGATACCAAGGGGCAGCTGTGTAAAGAAATCTTGTAAAAATCCTTTTGGAAAGAAAAGAGAATTTTTAGCTCTACTATAGGTCAAGCACTGTGCTCTAGGCACTTGTATTTTTTAGGTCAATGTGAAACCTTTTGGTTACATTATCCTTTGTCACCTCTCCACCTACCACTACCAAATTTGCCTGTCATGAATTAAATTTTTGTTTTTTAAAATAATCTTTTAGGCATGTCTTGATGTAATGGATACTTTTTTAAATAAAAAAAATTACGATTTCTGAATTTGGGTAAGAATCTTACTTTGGTCTTGAACATTGTAGCTATTTAGTAGAGCTGGTTTTTTTTTGTTTTTTTTTTTTCCCTCTCAGGCAGTAGACTGTTGCTTGTTCTCCCAATTAAGAAGGATCGTTATTTCTTGGTGGTGGTTTAAAATGTTTTAGGCCTTATCTTTTCTGTTGTGAAGATTAATTTCTCGTTTACCTGGAAGATGACTTGGCTTCCCGCTTACCTTGGTGGTGGAAAGGATTTTCTGTTCTAATAATTGAGGAAGCTTTACTAGTGATGGAAGATAAGAGTGGGAGTGTTTACTATTTTCCTTAAGAGAAATCATTGTGAAATAGCTCACAAGCAAGGCATGAAATGTTTCTATTGTTGTTTTTAAGGAGATTTGAAGAGGTAAAACTTTGTCAGTGGAACAAGGAGAGGTAAGATGTGTCACTATTCTAGGCCTTGGATGAGTTCAGATGCAGAGGTCATTTTCCTGTTTCTATTTTGGTTTATCTATAAATGAATTGAAGTATGATCTAACAGTGTTATGTAGCCTTAAAAATAAAAGCTGACTTGTGTTTTACACACACACACACACACACACACACACATATATATATATATATATATACTTCTAAATACATATGTGTGATCTCATATGTACTTTATTGGTTTAGTGAGATGTTTATTGCAGACTTTTTTTTCCCCCTAATATGTGCTGATTATACCCTTCTCTACTCCCTTCCTCCTCTCACATTGGCCTTCCTGTACCTACCCCTGTACTTCTTGCAGGGATTGAACTCAAGGTGCTGAACACATCCCAGCTATATATTTTATTTTTTAGTTATAGGTGGACATAATACGTTATTTATTTATTTATTTATTTATTTATTTTTATGCAGTGCTGAGGATGGAACCCAGTGCTTACACAGGTTAGGCAGTCGCTCCACCGCTGAGCTACACCCCTAGCCCCTTATATTTTATTTTGAGATAGAGTTTTGCTGAGTTGCTAAAGCTGCTTTGCATTTGCAACCCTCCTGTCCCAGCCTCCTGAGCTGCTGGGATTACAGGTGTGTTCCACCACACKCGGCCCCCTGTACTTCTTGATAACAACCTGTGTTGTGCTCTTTCATGCTAATAGATGGTGATAAATATGGGTAAGGAAAAGGGGAATCATTATTTCATAAAATCGGTATCATATAATAGGTATTTTTCTTTATGTATATTTTTTCCTCACTCAACATTACCTTAAGAAAACCTTATTTAATCAACTGGTATAAGATCAAATTTACTCTTTATGGCTAGTATTATTTAGTAGTTTATACCATAGTTTATTTAACCATTCCTCTCTGATAAGCAGCCACTTTCTTTTTATGTCACTGTGAATAAGAATGTCTAGTAGATTCATTTCCAAGCCATAGATTCTTGGGAATGAGATTCCTAGATTCAGACTACAGAGTATTTTTGAAAATAAGAGCATGTCCTTAAGAGCAGAGATTTACTATACAAAAATGCTAGTTCTGAAATTATGACACCTAGTGCCATTCTAATTAGRATCCAAACAGGGTTTTGAGAGGGGGACCTTTTTATTTTTTTCAGTTGAATAATACTGTCATAAAACACATATGGATGAGTAAGTTTAGGGCCAGAGGAAGAAAAATGTTTAAGTAATCATCCTGGAGGCTGGGAAGAACTCAGCTCAGTGATAGAGTGCTTGCTGGTATGCCCGGCCCTAGGTTTAATCCTCGGCACTACAAAAAAATAGTATCAGTGACAATTAGAATCATAATGGGAAATGTGTATCATGAGGTAGTACAACATATTCCAAGACTATTTGTACCAAAAAATAGTCTTTAAATAAATACTACTTACAGATATATTATGGCTATCCGTGGCAAAGGATGATCCACATCCCCAAATAATGGATAATATATTTAAACTCTGAGAGAAAAAAGTGGATGATTTAATAGGTGAATATCCATCTGAAACAAAGTAAAACCTGCATCATATATAAAGAAATTTCCAAAGGGTTAAACAACTGAAATTTTTAAATGATCACAATGAAATAGGAGACTTTTAGGGAGACCTCCTTACTCAAGACCAATGATACTAAAGCAATGAAAGAACACAAATGATTTTGTTGTAAAAAATAAACTTCTGTATATCTGAAGAAAGCATAAAATTAATATAATTCTTATGAATTTCCAACAAGAAATTGAAAAACATACAAAGGACAGAAGAATAACATTCACAGAAGAGCAAATCCATATGCTGACAATCATGTAAAAAACCTTCAAACTCACTTTTCAAAGAAATGTTAAATAAAATAACAGGGGAAGGGCTGGGATTGTGGCCTTGGGTTAGATCCTCRGCACCACATAAAAATAAATAAGTAAAATTAAGATATTGTGTCCAACTACAACTAAAAAATAAATATTAAAAAAGTAAGTAAATAACAGGGGAACTTCGAACTTGCAATCAAGTTATTTGCCTTTTTACTTATCAGATTGGCAAAAAAAAAAAAGACTAAAAATGCATAGCAAATAAAAACATGTATGATGGGGTTTTTAGAAATAATTTTATAAATATATTACCCCTTGGCCTGGCATATATTTTGAGCCCAAAATAGGGTAGTTTTTAAATGACAGGGAATACTCTACATCTTAAAATATTTAGGGATACCAGTTTCTGTGGAGGACCCAGTTTGTATTCAGTCCTGGCAAAAGGCTTGTTGTTTGCTTACGGAAAACTTATGAGAAGAAGGAGATAGTTTCTGCAAATGCTTTAGTCTCTGTCTTTGAAAAATAATTTGTATTTAATGGTGTTCTGTTGGTCTGAAAAAAGTACACTGCACCAGTAAAAAGATGTGAAGACAGAATGAGTATGTCCCCTGGTGCTATGGCACATACCTATAATCCCAGAGGCTTAGGAGGCTGAAGCAGGAGGATCCAAAGTTCAAACCAGCCTTAGCAACTCAGCAAGATGCTGTCTCAAAATAAAAAAGGGTTGGGGATGTGGCTTAGTGGTTAAGTGCCCTGGGTGCAATCCCTTCCACCCAAAAAAGAAAGAGGACACACTGCGATAAAGACTTGAAACTACATATTTTAAAAGYGTATATTGTAGCTGAGAAAATTGACCCAGAATGACTAATACTGAGATACATTTTAGTAAAATTACTGGATTTTTTTTTTTTTTTTAAGACGGTCTTCATAAGTTGCTTAGGGCCTTGCTAAGTTGCTGAGGCTGGCTTTGGCTTTGAATTCATGATCCTTCCGCCTCAGCCTCCCAAGCCTCTGGGTTTATAGGTGTGCACCACTGCACCCAGCCCCCAAATCACTAGATTTAAAGACAGAAAAGCCCTTTGGTTATCCAAGCAAAAAATGGTGAAGTCATTTACAAGAGAAAGAAAATAAAATATGTCAACAGGCTTTTCAATAGCAATGCTTTATGGCTGAGGAAAAAAAGATATTCAAAGATTGAAAGAAAATGTCAGCTAAGGTTTTTATGCCAGCTAGACTGACTTCCAGATATAAAGGCTACAAACTTACCAACTTGGAGGGAGCCAGACTTTCAGGCTCTGTCTGACAAATCTGCTAGAAAATGATCTTTGGACACTCTAAACAAACAAAACAGAAYAGATATGTTGACACAGACCTGGGGGTGAGCATTCAACATAGATTGTAGAATTAAATCCAAACCAGGCTTGTAGGGACAAAGTATGTGTGCGTCGTGAGCATGGCCCCTGGCTGTGTAGGTTCAGTGCAGCTATTTAAAAAATGAGTGGACAGTGACAGTGCAGAAAGATGTGTGTGTAAATAGTCTGTCTTTGCACTCATTAAAATGACAAGAATGTTGGTCTTGTTATTCTGAGCATAATGTGTGTGTGAGAGGTGTATAATAAAGTAAGTGAATAATTATGTGATAATTATTCTAATTCTGTCATCTGGAATCCTGCAGAAGCAGAATTCTGGAATAAAAAAGAAAATAGAAGGAAGTCTAAGCCGTGTACTTCTAAATTTGAATTACTAGTGTTGGGGTGAACTCATGTAGTATTTTATACTTAAATATGTAGATATATGTCGGGGTGTGTGCAGTCATTAAGCATACTAGCTCTGTTCACTGAAGAGGTCTAAAAATAATAACCAATCCAGTAGAAATGATCTTCCCTGGTCTTCAGATTGTGAACTTTAGATACCATTTTCCACCAAAAGTAAACAGGGCTTTTGGAGAAATGGTTGATTCTAGGTCCAGTGCAGGAAATGAAAAAGATGAGCCTCAAGTATCTTCCAAGCCTGGAACCGGGTAGCAAAACAACCAACAATTCTCCACAACAGAAGTGTTTGGAGCCAGTAGTGAAGAGGCTTCTATGGACTGGAGATGTGAGGATTTGAGCATCAATGCAGATGAGTGGATTGAAACAGCTATGTTTATTCCATGAGTTCATCATAGTATTTAAAAATAACAACTTATTGGCCACCTTTGGAGGATAATAGAAACTCAGATCATTAGTTTGAAAAATATGAATGAAAGGAATGATATAAATGTTGTCCCTTCCTTTCCTATATCCTGTACCGTTGGAGGACCAAATAGCAAAGATGAATGGAAGTTTTTCTTTGTAGAAATATTCTAACCAATAAATGAAGAAGGGATTGTTCAGTAAGARTATCACTACTTTGTAACCTCTAAGGAATGAGCAGACCAGGCATCCTGTCACAGTGGCTGCTGACGTTGCAAGAGAAACAACTAGGCCGAACCACCTCCTAAGGCAGGGCCATACTGCTTCCTGGGAAGGCATCTTGCCAAATGATTGGCATCTGAATCTTGAAACTCTACCTCCAACTTCCAACAAGAAATTCAGGAGAGCATTTTATACCATGATGTGAATGCAATCAGGAAACTCCAGACAGGGAAGCTACAGGTCAAACAACCCTGTTTCTTCAACAAATAAAATGCAAGGGGGTGCTAGGCACAGTGGCACACTCCTGTAATCTCAGCAACTGAGGAGGTTGAGGCAGGAGGATTGCAAGTTCAGAGCCAGCCTTGGCAATTTAGTGAGGCCCTAAGCAACTTAGTAAGACCCTGTCTCAAAAAAGGAGGGCTGGGGATATGGCTCAGTTGCTTGAGTGCTTGCCTTGCATGCACAGTGCCCTGGGTTCAATACCTAACAGCACAAAATAAATAAACAGCTAAAGAGAATTGAGGATGTGGCTAAGTGGTTAAGCACCCCTGGGTTCAATCGCCAGCACCATAAAATAAAATTTWAAAAAATCATTGATTAAAAAAAAATACAAGGTGGGGAAAAGGTAAAGGGAAGTCCTGTAGATTAAGAGATTTTAAGGACCATAGAATAGGCTAGAATGTTTAGGGATGCACATTTGGTGGTTATTACTATAGAGAAAAAGAAGGAAGTGGAGAATGACCAGAGAGGTGTGGAATGTGGTTATTTTTGAGGGGGAGGAGGGACACATCTTGTGTGTGTGTGAAAGAGAACCAAAGGCATTCTGAGAGGGAGCAAGGGGTCCTGGGCTCTTGGAGGTTGTCGGCCTCACTGGAGTGGTAGAGCTGCAGTACTGGAGATCTGGTGACTGGGAGGAAAGAGGTTCTAAGGTGCCCCCCGCCCTCTGAGTGGGAAGGAGTGGTGGGTGGGCATGCAAGACCAAGTTCTGGGGAAAACTTCTGAAACATAAAAACGGGAGGTCAGTGTGGATAATGTCTGAACGGAGGTTGGATGGACTTGCTGTGACTGTGACCACGGAAGGGGAACGCAGCACCCAGAGTGCCCTGAGGCAGAGGCTGGGGACCAACCTGGATTCCAGGTGCCCTCCTGTCTCTTGAAACCCGCAGAAGCTCAGCTTGTTCTTGGGCTACTCTTTTGTTTCCTTTTACCAAAGATTATAGGCAAGTAAATCTGAGGCCAGCCCATAAGTGTTCCATGGATTTTAGCACAAGGGATCGAGTGTTGAGTCACACGTGCAAAGCCCTCAGTGTGCTGCCAGCCCCCATGCTAGTAAGGACAATAGGAACAGGAATCAGCCAGGCATGTGGTGCAYGCCTGTGATTCGAGCAGTTCTGGAGACTGAGGCAAGAGGATCACAAGTTTGTGGCCCACCTCAGCAACTTCGCAAGACCTTGTCCCAAAATGCCTTTTTTAAAAAATTTTTTTTAGTTGTAAATGGATCTTTTATTTTAKTTATTTATTTATATGCAGTGCTGAGGATCGAACCCAGGGCCTCATACATGCCAGGCAAGTGCTCTACCACTGAGCCACAACCCCAGCCCCCCTCACCCAAATGCCCTTTTTAAGGGCTGGGGATGTGGCTCAGTGGTAGAACTGGCTTCAKTCCCCAGTTCCAAAAAAGATGGTGAACCATTTCTAGTTCTCTGATTATAATAGACTACATGACATGATCATTGTGAAGTAGAAACTAAGTAATTGAACGTTTTAAAAATCTTAATTCTTATTGACTTGATTGTTATTTGTTTGTTTTCTAGAAAAGCTTTGACCTGGAAATACTACGCCAAAAAAATTCTTTACTACCTACGGCAACAGAAAATTTTAAATAACCTCAAGGCTTTTCTTCAGCAGCCTGATGATTATGAGTCGTATCTTGAAGGTGGGTCTTTCCCATTCCGTGGACAGTGGTCTTTCATAGGTAGCTTTTTAAGAGTAGTCTTTCTAAGAGCAGGAGAAGGAACTGCTTTTGTGGTATGAATGRAAAAAGAAATCACACTGAGAGCTTTGGGAGGTTGGATTGTGGTCTGGCCAGTGAGGTGGGCAGYACTGCACCTCCCATAAGGTTTTGTTGTTATCTTTAGCCGTCAGCTGAAGAGAGGGTGCTTCTAAAGATGCGTCATTGGTCCACGTGTGAGAGTGATGTTTTAGCTAATGAGATGAATTCCTTCCAAGCTTTGAAGCATCATTTCCAAGACAGAAATAAAGGCATCTGATTTTGTCTCTGTGTAACCTTGAGCAAATCCCTTAACCTGTGTTTGGAGTTTAATGAGGACAGAATGTTCTGGTGCATCGGCATCTGCTGGTCCATGATGAGAAGCCAGGAGAAAGGGGTTGGGTGGGCAGGCTCTGTGGGGGCAGGGAGTGACTCTGTGTTCTTAGGTAGTCCAACAGGAACAAAATGTGACTTCAATTTCTTTAAACTATTTTAATTCCTAGAATGTTATACAAACACTCCCATAAATTGTGGTTATGAAATGCATGTTTCTTTCCCTGCTTCCAGTGACTTATTCAGTCGTTGATTTTTTTTCCCTTCCCTATCACCTAGTCATGTCTCCATTCCTGTTCTCATGTGGCTGTCACAACCTCTCCCAGCAGCAGCTTTCTAAGGATACTTGCTCTCCTGAGCCCCCACTCCTGCCCTCAAGTCAGCCAACACATCCAGCCCAGTCCAACCCAGACTCCCCTTGTCACCGTTCCTGTGGGGCCTGCCACCGAAGTCAGCTTGCTCTGTGAACCTTTGCTTCCAGTGTCCTCCACAGTCCTTCCTCCTGACCCTTCCCATTACTCTGCACATACACTACTGCCTTCACTTGCTCACTTGTGGCCTCCTCCTCCTTTGTTGTGCCCTCCAGGCTCGGCTCAGGCCTCCCCTCCATCCAGTGCCAACTGAGGGCTTGAGGGTTCCCTAGCTGTAGTAGCATTTAATAGTCACCTGCATCCCAGTCTTTCTGTTTGAAATGTATACATTTCGTTTCTTCAACTAGTCACTATGTTTCTTTATGATCCTGGTTGCAATAAACAATGCCTAATGTAGGTACTTATTAATTGTAGGAAAGTCCAGTACTGTCCAGAAGGAAATGGAAGATCTTTTTTAGTGGATTAGAATACAATATCCTTACCACCTTGGAATTCTCTCATACACACTGAAGTTGGAAGTCCTCCTCAAGAATAGTGTAACAAGCCTTGTTTTCTGAAGTTTATGTATAAAAATAAATACTGGATTTTCATTTTTCAAAGTTACAGTTTTCAAGTCACCCATCCAAATCATTGTTATAGGCATTAGAAGCCATCATCGAATTTTACATGGCTGAGTGAATGGACACCTGTCCAGGGCTTTGATGCTTGGTGGCCCGTGGAGCTCTGATGCCATCAAAGAGGTGCAGGAGTCGGTGTTAGGCTGAGTAGAGATGTGCAGCGTGGCCCTCGGCCATACGGAGGGAGTGGCACACAGGGGCCCAGGAGCCAAACCCTGGCTGGTGGCAACACGGGACTGGAGTCTCAGTCTCTTGATGCACATTCAGTGCTCTCTGCTCCTCAGAGTGTTTGCTGGTAGGGTAGTCAGGATCCGGAACTGTTCTGGGGTCCTTTGAATTGAAGATGACTCCCAGGCTCCCAAGTGAATATGTCCTGTAACCAAATGATGACAACCCTTTGGTGTCAGGTGAAAAGATCACCTAAAGCTCTGGAGAGTGCTGGTTTTCAAGAGGCAGGATCTGGTGTGCCCTATACATGTTTCAGTGGCAGCTTCTCTGAGCGTCACTGTTCCATTTGAAGGTACAGTTATCTTCAAAGTCCATTTACTCTTCACCTTGAGAAGTAGAGTTTATTCAAATGGACGGTCATTGAGGGCTTTCATTTTTATTTTATTTATTTTTTGTTTTTTAATGAAAGGAACTGTTTTACCCCATTAAGGTTTCTGAAGATTTTGGACTTTGAACCTATAAGAAAGCAGGAGAGAGAAGTAGCTTGAAAAGATCTCCGTTGTCACATCTGATTCTCCTTATCATAGAATATAGGAATATGCCATATATTACACAATTATTTATTTATTTGTCTGTTTCTTTATTTTGCTACTGGGGATTGGACTCAGGGGCACTTGACCACTGAGCCACATCCCCACCCTTATTTTGTATTTTATTTRGAGATAGGGTCTTAAATAAGTTGCTAAGCATCTCACTTTTGCTGAGGCTGGCTTTGAACTCATGATCCTCCTGCCTCGGCTTCCTGACCTSCTGGGTGTATAGGTGTACACCACTGTGCCAGACTATCACACAATTTTTGAGCCCATGAACTCTGAGAGGTCATAGAAGTTTTGTTTATTAGAAGAAGAGTGAAATACAAACTCCTTCATTGTGAAATCTGTTCTTCCTTCTCAGTGTGTTAGTAGCAAGGCCTAAGATAGGACACTTATCTGGTGGTGGGTGGTGCGCAGAACTCTCGCCCGGGGTGTTTGGGGCCCAACAACAAGCTGGTAAGAATAAGGAAGAAAAGAGTATCRATCGCCTGGTTCTTATTCATCCCCAGGTGCCGTGTACATCGACCAGTACTGCAACCCTCTCTCAGACATCAGCCTCAAAGACATCCAGGCCCAGATCGACAGCATCGTAGAGCTTGTTTGCAAAACCCTCCGGGGCATAAACAGCCGCCATCCAAGCTTGGCCTTCAAGGCAGGTGTGGAATTGCTTTGGGTCCAGCTATATTTGAAAMAAACAAACAAACAAACAAACCAAAAACCTTGGGGAGTTGGTTTATTTGGGAAATGCTAAGATGGTCGGTTTATACAACAAAAAAAGTGATAAACAATAGAACATCCTTTTTACCTGAATAAAATAAGAGACTTTAGATACATACTCCATTCTGCTCCCTAGATTGGAAGCACTTGGTTGTTAAGCCATTGCCAGTCACCACATATTGTGGGTTATTTGGGGCATTATTGGGAATGTCATTTGTACTTGTGTTCCAGAGCAGATCTCTCTGTTTCAGGTGACTCCTCCATGATAATGGAAATAGAACTTCAGAGCCAGGTGCTGGATGCCATGAATTATGTCCTTTATGACCAGCTGAAATTCAAGGGGAACCGAATGGATTATTACAATGCACTCAACTTATACATGCACCAGGTAAATGTGGATATAGTAAAGAAAGATACAGTTGGCCCTCCATATCTGTGGATTCCACTGCATCCACATATTTTAACAAAATATTTCAAAAAAAAAAGTAATGATTGCATCTGTACTGGACATGCACAGACTTTTCATGTCATTATTACCTAAGCAATACAACTATTTACATATCTTACATTTCTTTTACATACCTACCGTCTGTATGGCATTAGGTATTTTAAGTCATCTTGAGATGGTTTAAAGAATGTAAGGTTATTTACAAATAGTGTACCACTTTATATAAGGGATTTGAGCATCCACAGGTTTCAGTATTTGTGGGCAGTACCAAGCGACGGCTCTGTGTGTGTGTGTGTGTGTGTATGTGTACATGTATATTTTAAGTTCGTTTCTGATAGACTGTTTGTGGGGGATGAATGCTATGTCTTCCCATTTCTGAAGGCCCATTTTTATTCAGTCACAAGAATTTTGCTGTGAATGTCCTTTGTATGGGGATAAATTTGCTAGTAGAAGTAGGTATTTCTCTGACTCAGTTGGGTCCACTGGGCCATGTGAACACACACCTGCAAACCTCATCAGGGCCTTCTCTGCTCTGGTCTCCAGCAAATTTGGTGGCGATCCGCGGCCTAGCCATGTCAGTCTAGGCACTTTCAATATTTATTTGCTTCCTTCTTGACTCCGTTTTCATGTCTATTGTGTGCTCTGCCTGCTACTTTCATTTTATTTTGTCACACTTACACACTTTTCCTTGAAATGTCTTTAAATTCTTTTTGGAAGAACGAGGACCTAAGTCAGGGGTCAGCCAACTTCCTGTAAAGGGCCAGACAGTACGTCATCTTGGTTTGCAGTCCCTGTGGTCTCTCTCCTGACTCCTCAGGATGTTCTTACAGAGTGAAGGCGGGCACAGTGACACAAAAACAGATGAGTGCCGCTGTGTTCCCACAGAATTTTATATGTGGACGTTAACATTTGAATTTCATATTATTTTCATATATGACAAAATGGTACTTTTGAAAAATATAAAAGCTCTTTTTATGCCAGCTTTACAAAAATAGTATCCAGGTGGGCTGGATTTAGCCCATGGGTCATAACTTGTTGACCTCTGATCTAAATAAATAAAATATTGATTGTTTAAGCTTCAAACCCTAGCATCATGCCTGATGTACAGTAGATACCTGTAAGAATATTTGTTGAATGAAAGAGAATGTATGAATCCAAAGCATTTTTTCTCCTTTAGGTTTTGATCCGTAGAACAGGAATCCCAATCAGCATGTCTCTGCTCTATTTGACAATTGCTCGGCAGTTGGGAGTCCCACTGGAGCCTGTCAACTTCCCAAGTCACTTCTTATTAAGGTGGTGCCAAGGCGCAGAAGGGTAAGCCCCCTCTGACACATTGTAATTGGTGCCAAGGACCCAGTCCCACTGTGCTGAGAGAAAGCCTGACTTCGTGGTTAAATTAGGTATCACCACACAGAGGTTAAAACTGGGACATGGGGCTGTTTTGTTTTTTGATGGTAATCCATGTTGATATTCTACTTGTGATATTGTATTGTAGTCATGCAAGCTATTACCATCAGGAGGGATTGGGTCAAGGGTACTCTGTATTTCTTATACCTACATGTAAATCTATATTTACCTCAAAAAGTTTAATTAAAATAAGAAAGACTAGGACTTCAAGGTCTTCTGGCTCCAAGGTCCCTTTGTTCCAAAGTAGATCAGATCAAAGCCTTCTTAGAGAAATTCTTACTTTCCTTCCTTCCATAAATCTCCCCTTTCTTCTGCATGTGTGCCCAAGCTTGAGAGAGAGAAAGAAACCTGGCTAATGAGTTCTGTTTTGTTCTTTTAAATCTAGTGTCTTATCAGTCAGAAATCTCTAGCTGTTCTGCAAGAAATAGTTCAAGCCAGGTGTGGTGGCACATGCCAGTATCCCAGCACCTCAGGAGGCTGAAGGAGGAGGATCATCAGATTCAAGGCCAGCCTTAGCAACTTAGTGAGAACCCTGTATCTAAATAAAATATTTTWAAARGACTGGGGATGTGGCTCAGTGGTTAAACTCCTCTAGTTTCAATCCTCAATGCCAAAAAAAAAAAGAAATATCTTATTAAATCTGCCATTTTATGGAAAAAGTAATAATCTATTTCATGTTCTTTGAAACCAAAAGATTGTAATAATCTTGGGTGAACTGATCAGACAATGCAGTAGAAAATACTTGAGCTTTGACATCAGCCTGAGCTCAAACCGTGGTTTCCTCTGAGCCTCAGTTTCTTCCTCTGTAAAATGGGGTCACTTTTTCATAGAGTGACTTGGAGGATGGAAAAGATCACAGTCCTTTATCCATCTAGTCAAGGCTCTGGTGCTGTATAGAAAGAAGTACAGTTTGTCTCTGCCTGTCTACCTCCTAGTTTAAAAAAAGAAGCAAAATATTATATGTGTAATTGAAGCCTTCCAGGCATTCTTCCTGATTGCTTTTCCCCCCCTTCTGCTCCCCAGAAGTAACTACYAGTCTGTTTGAAAGTGTTTACTTCCACGTAGATTATTAGTTCATTATGTATGTGTGGTTTTTTAGACAACTGTACACCCTTCCCTAGTTTTCCATGTTGTTTTGCAAATATGTGTTCCTAAATGTGTACTGGGTAMGTTGGGCACAGAGGCACACACCTGTAATCCCAGCAAGTCAGGACACTGAGGCAGGAGGATCTCCATTTCAAGGCTAGCCTGGCCAGTTTGAGAAGACCCTGTCTCAGAATAAAACATGAAAAGGGCTGGGGAAGGAACTCAGTGATAGAATACTCTAGGTTCAATTTTCAGTACTAAAGTGGGAGGGGGTGCTGGGAAAGTAGATATCCACTTTTCATTATTTTAAATGAGAAAAATAATTTTTCAGCTCATTCCCTTTCTCTGTATAATCCAGCCTCTCCATGTTTCTCTAAAATATTCTGAAATGCCTATGTAGTAACTCACCATGGTTTTTGTGTGCTATAAAGTGTTCGTAACACTGATCATCATATTGTTTACCATAGTAATGTATTACATGGTAGCATTGTGTGTGGTGACAGTATCATTTTTCCTTCATGGGCTACAGTGAGCATATATCATAGTGCAAATAAATAATGCAATAATTTGTTAATATTCCCAGGTAGCCTTTTGTCCCAGCTACTGTAGAGGTTAAGCTGGGAGGGTCACTTGAGCATATGAGTTTGAGACCATCCTGGGTAACGTAGTGAGAACTTGTCTTCAAAAGAAAAAAACAACTCGGGCAGGTAGCAGGAACAAACCCCGGGGCCCATGCAGGACTCGGCCCTCAGGCTGGGGGAGCACACAGCTCTCCCCAGCAGCTGGGCTGTGTCCCTCTCTGTCCTTGTCTGGGCTCTTACCACTCCTGCCTTKGGTCTCTTTTCACTGTCCCTGCACCAAGATCATATTATCTCAATTATTGTGACTTTATAATTAGTCCTGATACCTGGTAGTATGAGAGTCCCAATGYGCTCTTCAAGTCTGCCTTGGCAGTTCTTAGCTTTCGCTCTTCCATACAGAATCATCAGGTTCCGTAAAATAATTCTGCGTGCATATTGATTGGAGCCATTGACTGCTTTTGATTGGATTTCTAGATCAGTATGAGGACAGTGGCATGTTCACTGTTGAGTCTTTTTGTCTAGGAAATGGTCCTCCGCATCTACCTACGTCCTCATTAGTGGCCCTGATTTTTACACTTTCCTTCATCAAGATAATTAATATCTCGGAAGGTTTTTTATTTGTAGATACCTTAAATTTTTGTTGCTGTTTTAAGTGGGAATTATTTTCTAAGTATTGATGGTATACAGGGATGAAGCCAATAATTTAGATATAGGTCTGATATTCACATTTGCTGAATAAATTATGAGTGTGAGTAATTTGTCAACTTGATTTTTTTTGGTGTTGATAATCATCATATCAGTAAGTATTGACTTTTCTTTTTTCTGGCTTTATATATATATTATAAATATATATTATATATGTAACATGTATTTAATCTCTCTTATATAATTTTAATCTCTATAATAAGCTGCTCTGATTTGAGCAGTTTATCGTAGAGGATAAAATACTGAATTCTTCATATACATGTTGTATGTAACATTTTATATATATGTATATATATATATGTATATATTTTTTTTTTTTTTTTGGCATTGCTGGGGATTGAACACAGGGCATTGCACGTAGTAGGCAAGCACTGTCACCCCTGAGCCACGTCCCCAGCCCTAGCTTTGTATATTTGTTTGTTTTGGTTACCTTACCCTGTTGGCCAGATCCTTTTGTCCAGAGTTGATAAGCAATGATGGCATGCGCCTATGCCTTGGGTGTGACTTTCAGTGGGATGCTTTTCAGATGTCACTATCCAGCATTATGTTTGGGGAGATACCTTTCATTAGGATTATCAAAGCTACCCTTCAGATTCCTAATTTGCTAAGAGTTTTATTAATCTCTAGATATTAGAGATTTTCCCTAGCTATCCATGTGATCTCACAATTTTGCTCTTATTCTGTATGTTCAATAATGGGGGTTTGTTTGGTTTGGTCTGGAGCTTGAACAAGGGGCCTTGCACATGCTGAGCACTTGCTCTGCCACTGAATTACACCCCAGAAATAGATTTTTTTAATGTTTAGCTCTTCTATCATTCTTGGGGTACGTCTAAACTTAATCATATTTTTTGAAAATACACGGATCCATTTAATTTGCTTGTATTTTGTCCAGGATTTTTTGTATTCATGCTCATAAATGATCTTGGCCTATAAATTTTTATGTGTTTGTCCTTAGGAAGYTCTGGCCCCATAGAGAGGGGAGGAGATCCTTATTTCTAGAACATTTTATATGTCTTAGGTCTTTGCTAAAAGTGGGCTATAAACATAATTCAAGAAAGAAATCTGACTGGGCTTTTTAGCTGCCAAATAGAAAATTTGATATGTGATTTGCRGTGAGAATAAGATCAAAATGAAATAATTGCTCAAAGGAATCACAGCTGTCCCTGAGACAGTCACCTAAATCATTCCATAAGCCCTCATGGCACCCTGATCCGTGCAGTAGGAACTTGTATCATGTGATCCCTGCTCGCCRCTGATCGAGGCCAGTGAGCAAGGCACAACTCTTTGTGGTCTAGTGCAGGGCTCCCAACCTGAAACCAAGATGCACAGAATGGAGGGCAGAATCCTTCTGGAGTGAGGTGCCAGAACTTTCCTCAGATTTTCAAGGGCTCAGCATCCCCAGAGGCTAACTACTGCTTCTGCCTCGGCCATTCCTATGTCTTTCACAACTGAGCTCTGATGTCTATGGTCATGAGTTTTGCATCAATTTTAATTTAAAAGGTCTGATAGGCGGCCTGTTTGCATGGTGTCCCTTAAACACCAGAGGACTGGTCTGATAGTTGAGCTCCCATAAAGAGTCAGGTTTTAAACTGTGGACAAGGCATTAATATTGTCAGTGTCCAGAGTACTGTTTTAACYGTTGACCTCTGATTTGAGCAGCTTATTGTAGAGATTAAATACTGAATTCTTCASCTCATCTAATATTTGGCTCTTCTGATAGGGCGACCCTGGACATCTTTGACTACATCTACATAGATGCTTTTGGGAAAGGCAAACAGCTAACAGTGAAAGAATGTGAATACCTGATTGGCCAGCATGTGACTGCAGCGCTCTATGGGGTGGTCAACGTCAAGAAGGTGTTACAGCGAATGGTGGGAAACCTGTTGAGCCTGGGGAAGCGGTAAGGGTTTCTGATACCTAAGCAAAATGTGTGTCTTCAGAGGCTTGTGTGTCTTCACTGAGAATTGTGTTTAACGAACTCACCTGCGAGTGGCTGCAGCGTCACAGCTGACTACCACCTGAAAAATAACGGTTCCCTTGACAATGCTGTACACAGTCAAGAGGTGCTGAGTGGCTTCCCTTGAGGTCTTCACAGTGGACTTGGACATACCCTCCTTGTAAACACTGAGGGTGCTCTTCACCAGCAAGAACGTCTAGACTGGAAAAGATTTTTCAGAGGCAGGATGTTCTCGTGTCCAATTATTTTATAATTTATCACTTAAACAGTGGAACAGTCTTGCTCTGAGTCCAAGGAAATTCATCCTGGGAAAATAGTTGTAGGTTGTGTGTTAACAGTAATAGTTTTCTACCTAATAATAGAATTTTTTAATAGAATTGAATTTTTTAAAGCAGTTTTAGTTCAATAGCAAAATTAAGCAGAATGTAGACAGTTCCTTTATGCCTTCTGTTCCCATACATGCCCAACCTTCTTCACTGTCCACATCCTCAACACAGTAGGCCTTTGTGACAAGTGACAGCCTACTCTGCCACATCATTATCTCTCCAAATCCACAGTTTCATTAGGGTTCACCCTTGATGTTCTAACACTCCGAGGATTGGGACAAATACATCATGACTTGCATCTGTTATTGTCATATCATACCGAGTAGTTTTGTGTCTCACTGTTCCCTTGAGGTCCTCTGTGCTCTGCCTAGTCTGTATGCTCTGCCTAGTCCAAGTTCTTTTGTTGTTGTTTTTTGGTACTAATAAAAAGCAAAAAGGACTGGAGATGTAGCTCAGTGGTAGAACACCTTAAGGATTGAACCCAGGGTGTTCTACTACCGAGCTACATCTCCAGTCCTTTTTGCTTTTTATTTTGAGACAGGGTCTCACAAATTGCTGAGGCTAAACTCAAACTCGTGATCCTCCTGAATCAGCCTCCCAAGCCACTGGGATTTTAGGCATGCATCACTGCACCCAGCTCAAGATTTATTTCTAATTTTTACAGTGTTATTGTGGTGAGGCTGAGGCAGAAGGATTTCAAGTTTGAGGTCAGCCTCGACAATTTATGGAGACCCTGTCTCAAAAAGTAAAGGGCTGGGCTGGAGATGTGGCTCAGCGGTAGCGCGCTCGCCTGGCATGCGTGCGGCCCGGGTTTGATCCTCAGCACCACATACAAGCAAAGATGTTGTGTCCGTCGATAACTAAAAAAATAAAATATTAAAAAAAAAAATAAAGGGCTTGGGATGTGGGAATGTAGCTCAGTGGTAGAGCATCCCTGGGTTCAATCCTCAGTAACAAAAGTAAATAAATAAAAAGAGTGAAAGAGAGAAAACATTTGGGATTAATGTCAATTACTTTAAAAACCCATGCTTGGAAAAGAAGGATCTTAACTGAAAAACCCACCAGATGAGACCAAGTGACTGTCTCCTCTAGGGAAGGCATCGACCAGTCCTACCAGCTCCTGAGAGACTCGTTGGATCTGTATCTGGCAATGTACCCGGACCAGGTGCAGCTTCTGCTTCTTCAAGCCAGACTCTACTTTCACCTGGGAATCTGGCCAGAGAAGGTAATTATTTTACTTTGATGCTTTGCACTTGCCTTAGAGAAGAGAGTTCTAGATTTAAAGGCGGCTGTTACAAGTTCATCCTTTTACTAAAAGGGGAATGTGCACAAATTTACTCAATCTCCAGTCCTAAAATTATTTTCTATTTCCTCTAATTCCAAGGAACATCGGCTCTACTGCCAGGAGTTGACTGTTCCCCTTTGTGGTTAGTCACTTGGCACCCAGAACCACAAAACCTGCCCCGCCACTCACCCACTGGTGCCCAAGCCTTGTCTTTCACGGGTCACCTTCAACACAGGGAAGCAGACAGAATGTGAGACCTTCAGCTGACTGTTAGCAACTAAACTTACCATGAATAAGTACCCTGTTTAGCATAGGAAGTCATTCTGGCCACTGAACTAGCTGAGGACCAGTTTCCAAAAATGGTTGAATTTTCATGCTGTTCACTTGAATGTTCTCAGTTTTGTAATGGCCAGTAGCAAGCACTGTGAGGAGGTGACAGTGGTGAGATCAGAGCTGGTCTCAGGCAAGTGTGGGTGCAGCACACACGTGGGTCTGGTTGTGTGTGACATTGCAGGCGCCAGTGGCATATTCCCTTCCCACCCTTGCTGTTCCCTGGACATAGGACAGTGATTCATTTTGTTCGTCTAGAACAGCATGGTGAAGAAGCTTGATTCCAAGCTGTCACTGGAATGTCACCTCCCTAGTTATTAGAGAAGAATCTAATCTTTTTGGAGAACATAAATATCCTAAATGAGCCTACATTGCCAAGATTGACATTGTCTCATTAGTTTAATGCTTTAAAGATCTAAAGTACATCTCAGAAAACTCATGTGGGGGATATTTCAGTCTCCTATCTCAAGACACTGTCCACAGCAAAGATGGTGCAGGTCTTCCCACAGAAGGTCATAGAGTGTTACTTAGATCACCTGCTCCCTACAGCTCAGCTGTCTAGGGTGTAATCATCCATTTGAATTTTTAATTTTATTTATTTACTTTTGGTAACAGGATGTATGTAGCTGATCTGTTGCTTATTACTTTAGATTTGTGAAGGGATTTCATGCTCATCCATGAAACACCAAGATTCTTTCATTGTTGATCCTATAGTTAAATGATCGGTCTGCCAGAAGGTTATGCTGTTGACAGTCCCCTTTGTGAGGCACAGTCTAGGGGTCATCTCAGGTGTCCTTACCCCCACACCTGACTGATGTCAGCACGAACATTCTACTACTGGAAATGGCCTCAGTAGCCCTTGGAGTGATCCTGGGCACCTTCCTGCCAGGCAAGCATTTGTGCAGAGAGCCTTTCTTCCTGACTTGCACTGCAGGGTGCACTTAGCGCCGCTCTCCTCTGGAGGTCAGGAAAGAACCCTGGCTCTTCCCCAGGGCACCTGAGACTCCTTCCCCTCGAAACACATGGTGCTGCATTGGAAGTGGCACCCCGAGATGGGGAGGAGGGTAGGGCGCCTAATGAGGAAGAATTCAGAGGGTACCCAGAGAGAAGGCACCTCTCCAGAGGAAGGCTCTGAGGTGGCCTTTGAAGGCTGAGAGCAAATTCAGAGCCGCTGGGTCGGGCAGCTGGGGGGAGCAGCCTGTGGGCACTGCAGAGGCCTGGTGTGCACCTGCAGGGTCAGCCCGACAGGGCCCGTCCGTGCCTGTGTGTGTGTGTGTGTGTATGTGAAAGCGGGGAGCAGGTGTGAGATGAGTCTGTGAAGCCTTGGGCCTTGTTAGGTAAAGGGGACATGCTGAGCTGGGAGGACCTGAAGGTGGCCTTGCTTTCCATGGAGGTAAATCAGAAAGAGCTAAGAACAGACCGCCTTGGCCACGGTGGCAGTAGTTCAAGGTTGTTGTGGCTGAGATCAGGTCAGGAGAGCCAGGGTCAGGTTTGAAAGTCACTAGTGTTTGCTGCACATGTCCACCCTCTCCGCGTCCCCCTTCATACTGCTTTCAGTTTTGCCCTTTGACAAATAACATAACAGGCACTGAGAAGTAACTTGCCACGCTCTCGTGCACATGTGTGGGGGCACCATGAGTTTTACCTTGGGCTGGTGCCTGAGCCCACCCCAGGCATCACCCCATGAGCTTGGGACGGCGGAGGAAGGATCATCTCTGAAGGGGGCCAGGATGCTTTGCGGCTGCCAGACCCATGTAGCTGTCCTTTTCCTTTCTCTGTGTTTTAGTGAAGAGAGTGCCCCTCTGATTGCCCAAGGCAAGCCCCTCCCTTCGTGGGTATGAAAAGGGGAGCGCTCCTTGTCAGTCCTACTGGCGCTTGCCTGTGGCACTCCCTTCAGCCCACTTCCTTCCCAGTAACCTTCTCAGGCACCTCCTGGACTGCCCAGTGCCCACCCGCCCGCCTCCACCCACTCCAGAACATGGGGGTTACTTCAAGGCACTGCTGTAGCCAAGGAAGACAGTGGTCCCGTTTCACTCAAACCATTCTCCTTGCTGCTTAACCCAGTAGGTCCTTGTCTCCCCATCCCTGGGCTGCCCCCCCGCCCCCAGAACACTCTGTTCCCTGCGCTCTGTGGTCTCCGCTCCCAGGCCTCCCTTAAGGCTCCACACCAGGTAGGCCCTGGCTTCCTGTCCTCTGCACCTTTCCCCAAAGCAGTTCTGCTCACCTTGTGACCACCTGTACGCTGACGCTCCAGACTCTGAGGCTCCAGGATGACTTACCCACAGGTCTTCCACAACTAGAACCTGGTTCTGCTTCCCAGCTGGTGGCCATCAGCCTATTGAAAACGACCCTTCTGCAGCTTAGATTGGCACACAGGCCCAGTTTGGTCTCTGCTCTGAGACCCTTTGGGCCAACTTAATATGTGGTAACCAGAGTCATCTTAATAAAGTGTCATTACTGTTCTTTCACTGCTGACGCTCCTCCCATCTCGTGGCCTGAAAGATGAGACTAATGCTCTGCAGTGTGGCCCACGGGTTCTTGGTGGGCTGACCTTATCTGCCTGACCTTGTGACTCCATGGGTTGTCCCCTGGTGTTCTGCTGCACGGCTGCGCCTCTCCTATCTGTGCTGTAGTCCTCTGCATGTACCACTCCCTGCTGGTGCTCAGCTCTGCTCCAGCTTCTGCTGAGCTGTCTGTCAAACTCCTGCCTCCCTGGATGCCCACCCCCAGCCCCAGCAAGGTCAGCTCTCCGCCAGCCCGCACTCATCAGTGGTGCTGCCGTCCCATCCTCCCTCCCCTGGAACAGTGCGGCCCTCGCTGTAGCTGTTCGTGCTCTCGGCACCATCCCTATACAGAGTAGGCGTTCAGGACATTTATTTATCTGTTTTCCGTTGGTGCTGGGGAGGGAACCGAGACCTCTTAAGTGCTAGGCAGACACTGTGCCCCTGAGCCATACCCTAGGCCTCAGAATCATCTGGGGGGAATAATTGAGAAATGGCCAGACTTCATGGGCTGTGAAAAAGGAGAAGATCCCAATAAGATATCTAGGTTTTCCAACAAGGAGACAGTTACGCCAGTATAAAAGGGAGTGACTYGAGAATGAGCTTCTTTGGGTCGGGAGAAGGTGCTAACTCAGGGGTGTGTGGAATTGTTGCTTGGGGTCATCTATCAAATGCAGATGCCCTGGTTGATGAAGCTCCCCCCCCCMMAAAAAAAAAATGAGTCCTACAGACAGGTGGCTGTCGAGAAAATGAAGCCAAGAACTTGGGGAAAGCCTTAGGGAAAACCTGAAACTCAGAGACAGAGCAGGGGTCAGCAGGACCGCCCGGTTCTGTGGGTATGTTCTATTAGACCCAGCTGTGCCTGTTAGAGTACTCGATGTCTGCAGCTGCTCTCAAGCACTGGAGCAGCATGGACTAGTTGAGCCCAAAACAGTGACCTTCTGGCCTTGTCCAAAAGAGGCTTTCGGGCCTCTGGCTAGAGGAGGAGCGACAGTGGAAGGAAACGCTTCGTGGGTCATGGGCCCTGTTTTAAGGTCTTTCCTCAAAACTTGTGATACTTGGGGTTCTAGAGAGTATTTGGTTGGGGACAGTGTGGGGCCTGCTGTCASCACTACCCTCGTGAACACACCAGGCCTCAGGTCACAGCATCTACTCCGTTCCTGCCCTCGCCCCTCCTCAGCACATGGCAGGAAGGAGAGCGTGGTTATCCCTGGCCCTGTCTCCTCCGGCAGTCGGAATCCAGCCTGCCTTGTGCTCAGACTGCTGAGGTGCTAGCTGCGCTGTGCGTCTGGTGGAGAGGGGCTGCCGGAAAGGAGGGGACGCTGCCGAGGTGCCATCAACACTAGCTCACTGGAACAGGATGGGCACACAAGGACGGCCATTGTGCCACCACAGCAGATAGAGGCTTATTGTTCAGTAGGATGCTTTTAGCTACAAAAAGTAAATGCCACTACTGTCCCCAAATTAAAAGTACACTATTGGAGGTGGGAAGTGGATAGGGATTGGCTGACAGTGGATTCTTGTTGAATCTGCTTTGGGGTACTTGAGGTTATGCTATTCTGTCCATTTTTATGTTTTTGAAACATAACATTTGATGAAAATGCTCCTACTTTAATATTCTTGTGAATGATGGGTGCATGCACACACCTGTAGTCCATGGTACTCAGGAGGCCAAGGCAGGAAGATCACAAGTTCAAAGCCAGTCTGGGTAACTTAACAAGACTCTGTCTCAAAATAAAATACATTTTWWAAAAAAAGAAGGTGGCCTGGGGATATAGCTCAGGGGTAAAGCACCTCAGGGTTCAATCCCTAATAGTGCAAAATAAATTTAAAATACAATAAAATTAAAAAGCTGAGGCTATGGCTCAGTTGTATTTGTAATACTTGCATAGTATTTGTAAGGCCCTGGGTTCAGTCCCCACTACTGAAAAAATAAGATGTTCCCACTCTTGCTCTGATACATGGTGTTGAAACGTTGGGTTGATAGTCAGACCCAGGGCTGTGTCTTCAGAACCCTGTGACCTTGGGCAAGACTTATTTTACGTCACTGAGCTGGGTTCCTCTTTTGGAAGTCAGCCATGACTTCGTGGTATAGCGCCCAGCAGAGAATCAAATACTGAAATCATCAGGAAATACTGAGATACTCCATCTAGGAGACAAGATTGGCGTTTGGAACAATATCTAGGTTGTGTGAAACTGTAGTTTTCACAACATTTTTATGTGCTAAGAAATAGGTAAGTCAGCGCTTCATCATCGTTGGATAAGAAAATGATTCAAAAGTGAAAACAGCTAGTTTGACAGATCTGGGACTAGAGTCCAGGTTGTCTTCACCACTAAACATGTGATAATTTAGGACTCGGTAAATTGGAAGGATAGGCTCATCAAGAGACCTGCTGCATTCTTAGCAACACCACAGGTGCTAAACAGGGTGAGTGTGTGTGTGTGTGTGTGTGTGTGTGTGTGTGTGTGAGAGAGAGAGTGTGTGTGAAACTTGAGTGTTTATTTTCTCAGAGGCACTGAGCATAGCAGAGACTGTGACAATGTAGACAGTCCTGCTCCTCCCTGCTGCTACTTGAAGCTCTGAATAGATACAGTGTCTCCCCCTGCCCACTGGAATGCTGAGTTCCATTGTGAGTGAAGACTGTTGACGAGGCCAGCAAGACTCTTCCTCGAGTATGGCATCCCTTGGGTGCCTGGTCAGTGACCCTTTCCCTCTTACCCAGCCCAGAGGCAGTAGTGTCAAAAGGTCTTTTTCATCTTGATTAAAACAGCTTAAGATTTTTCCCTCTCAGTGCATGAGCGGCGGGTAAAATAAGTCTCCTTACTGTGTTTAAGCATTCCCACAGTGTCCATGCCGACCGAGAACATGAGGCCCTTCTGTGGCCCGCCTAGTCCAAATGTGCAGCAGATGGCAGCCCCTGCCGTCCTTTATCAGGTTATGTAGGTAGGTCTGAATCCCAAGCTGTGAAAAAGAAAAGGCCTAGCTGAAAATATTATCTCCTAGTCTTTCTGTCTTGTCTTGAAGGTGCTTGACATCCTCCAGCACATCCAGACCCTCGACCCCGGGCAGCACGGGGCGGTGGGCTATCTGGTGCAGCACACGCTCGAGCACATCGAGCGCAAAAAGGAGGAGGTAGGCGTGGAGGTCAAGCTGCGCTCTGACGAGAAGCACAGGGATGTCTGCTACTCCATTGGGCTCATTATGAAGCATAAGAGGTGAGTGTCGTGTGTCCTCCTGTCCTCCGGAGCCATCCCAGCGGGGCCGCAGTGGGCGCAGGAGACGGCTGGAGGAGGATCTGCCTCTCGGAGCAGCAGCTGGGTGCCCCTGATTGCTACCTCACCGAGTGCCCGCCACCGAAGACAAGGCTGAGCTGCCTCTTCACATTTGTTTTTAAGCAGTGACTCACTTTTCTAACTGACCTCCAGACCCTTCTCTGTGCAGGAAGATGCAAGCAACTCTACACACAGAGTTGTTTCTCTCATTTCTTCGTTGTTCTTAACCTCTTCCCCTTTAACCTCCATCTCTTCAAGTCTGAGTCGTGGGTATGGATTTCTGGCGCCATAGTCTGTGCATGTGCTCTGTTTACCAGGCCAAACGGACCTCTCCAAACTGACGATACTGGTTCACATCCCAGCGACAAAGGAGGAACTGAGAGTTCCTGTTAGCACCAACAAGTGTCACTGCTAGGCCTTTAAAAATGTCCTTAAGTGGCAAAAGGTCCTTCGTTATGGTTTTAATTTACATTTCCCTAATTCCCAAGCAGGCTGAGGTTCTTTCTATAGGTTTCCTGACAACCGGGCTCCCTTCAGGAAGTGCTGCTTCAGGTGTTTTGCTTATTCTCTGCACAGTACCCATCTTCCTTACTGACGTGTCATCATCCTGTCCTTGTTCTGCACACTGGTGTCTGTGTGACAAGTCGCAGCTGTCTTCTCAGGTTGGGAATTCCATTCCTTTAGTGTGTTCTTTTTAAAAAAACTTTGTTATGGAAATTTCCACACACAGAAGAGTAGAGAGGGGAGTGAGAGGAACCAAGGTGAGGTTCCTGTCATGGAGTCTCAGGAGCGCTCTCATTGCCCACCTCCACCCTTCGTCCCCTCCTCCCCACTATAACTCACACCAGGTGCCATTCCACTGCATACTAGTTCAGTATGTGTCTTCAGAAGGGAAGGGCTCACTCGCGCTTGCTTTAATACATTTACCATTCTGTTGTCATCAAAAAATAAGCAGTTCTTGAGCCTCACCCAGCATCTTGTCCAGAGCTGTTTCCCGGGTTACTCTGTTTTTGATGGAGTCTGTCTGAATCAGGGTCCTTTATTCTCTTAATTGTATTGCTGTCAAATTAATTGGTTTTCTTTGTGAATTGTATTTTTAGCACCTCATTTAAGAATTGTTTCCTGTCAAAGATACTTTATTTTAGAAGTCCTGCGTTGCACACCTAGGTCTTTGCTTTACTAACGATCACTGTTGGCGTGTTGTGATCAGGTCAGTGTCCTGATGCCTTTACTTTTGGATGACCAGTTGCCCTGTCACTCTTCATTGAAAAGTTCAGTCTTTTCTAAATGAAAAGTGGTGTGTTGACAGTAAGAGCGTTTATAGAGGGGCAGGGTGGCCCAAGCCTCTATACTAACACGAGTAACAGCAGGTGAATTGGTAAAAACGTGAACTTAAGAGAAGTGAAGCCATTATCTCTGTGTTTCACARGCGCTGTGACAGGTTCCCAGGGAGTTGACTTGTCATTCCTCCTCTGTTGGTCAGGTATGGCTATAACTGTGTGATCTACGGCTGGGACCCCACCTGCATGATGGGACACGAATGGATCCGAAACATGAATGTGCACAGCCTGCCTCACGGCCATCACCAGCCCTTCTACAACGTGCTGGTGGAGGATGGCTCCTGTCGATACGCAGCCCAAGGTGAGAGGCTGGCCCTGTCGGAACATTCCACAACACCTGGGCATATTTTAAGCACAAATTTGAATACTCATATGTGGGTCTTCAGTACATTTAGAGGTGGCACTGGTCCTACGGCTAACTCCTACGGCTAACCTCGTAGGACCATACTCGGCTAAACATGGCTGGGTGCTCACTGGTGTAGCCCATGTCCTCTGTCCCCCTGAGACTGGCTGCCAGTTGTTTTCTCTCGTTTCTTTGTTGTTCTTAGCCTCTTCCCCTTTTGATCTCCATCTCTTCAAGTCTGAGTCCCAGAGATACCCTCGCTGGCCATTTGCGGGAACTGCAGTCCACACTACTGGCGCTCAGGGTCAGCAGGCGTTGGTAACCCTTGATAGGTGTTTGTGGCTACTGCCTTCCCTAACAGGTGCCAGCCCAGGGCAGATCTGAGATGGGGGCCATTGGGACTGAGATGGAGGCTGGAGGACAAAAAACCCTCAGCAAGTCTGCCTTCTCTTTGTCCCCAATGCTTTCCACCTCTGTCTAATAGGTCGGATGGGTTGTGTGCCTGATTGCCAAGGGTTCGCATTAATTTTATYAACACGAGTGCTGACGGAACAGGCAGGCAGCAGCCTGAGGTGTGTCATCTCCATGTGAGAACCCCTGTCATTTTTATACCTCCTGAGACTGAGGCGCGTGAGGCCAGGTACTTTTAACTTGGGAGAATGAACTTGAAGCCGGCTTGACAAAGAACTTCACCCTCACCCTCACCCATCATGCCGCACCTCTTCATTTCTGGCCTGAAACATGAGGCTTGACCTTTGTAAATCCAATAAGAGAAACAGTGAATATATAAAAATGCCAGAAGTTTACAAAAGGCTGGGGAAAGTTTTTGTGGTAATTACTGTTAATTCATCAAGAGGCGGAGAGAGGATCCTCCAGAGCAGTAACGTCAGAAGTCTGTTTACTGCCACCATAGGTCATTTCCCCGTGGCCCTTGTGCTGGGTGAAGTGTAAGAGGATTTTGCTGAGCTTCCCATGTCAGATAGGCTGTGGCAGTCATGTTATTTACCTTTAAAAGCTACATTAAATCAAAAGTCATACAAATACTTTCTAAAAATCAAAAAGTGATTTGGAAATTATTGAATGATTTGCTGGACCGTTTGTACCACCACTAATCCCTTAGTGAGCCATTTCATACTGTGCTTCCTGCAGCGTTTTGCAGGAATAAAGGAGAACTTTCTTGTTATCAGCACCCTGGGCCAGTGTCCACAGCTGCACAGCCTACAGTCCCTGTCCACATGGAGGGCTGGTGTGAAGACTTGCAATCTACACAAGTTTCTGGAAACACTTATATTGACTTGAAAATGGGCTTTTTGGAGTGGGTGTCTGAATTATCCTGTTGAAGATTCTGGAATTTATCCTTCATCAAATCTAAGCAACATGCAGTGTGAGGTTTGCAACAAATAACATTGAAGAACATTTAATATCTGGGTGTCAGTTTTACCATCTCTAAAGCRGAGCTTGATCTAAGTGGTTGTGAGTAATGTTAGCAAGTTGTCTTGCTTAATTTTAAGTTTTGAGACATGGAAGGTCCTAAAACCTGAAAAGCTGCTCTGGCCTGCAGAGTCCATCTTTGCTGGCAGTTCTGTGGGCACTTGGGACTTCAGTGCTTCCTGAGGGCCAGAGTGAAGGGGAGGGAGTCTTCCTGTGCTCCCCAGGTGTGTCAGCACACCTGCTCCTCAGAGTGCTCCCTGCAGCTCTGGGCCCTCTCCTTGGCTCTTGCAACTTTGGTGACCGTTTACATGCTGGTAGCTTTCAAAGCCGTATTTCCGTCCCGAGCTTCTGGGCTGCACGCCTGCATCTTATAGTCCTTGGTCCTCTGCACACAGTGGGCTCTCAGGATCTTCAGGTGCCTCTCAAAAAAAAAAAAAAATTCCCCTGTCTCAGCACTAGGGATTGAACCCAGAGATGCTTTATCACTGAGTTACATCCCCAGCCCCTTCAATTTTTAATTTTGAGTCAGGGTCTTACTAAGTGGCTGAGGCTTGAGGCTGACCTTAAATTTGTAGTCTTTCCTGCCTCAGCCTCCTGAGTAGCTGGGGTCACAGGCTCATATCACTGTGCCCAGCTTAGATGCTCTTAACACTGGACTCCCGGTGCTGCCCCTGCCCCAGCCTGCTCCTGCACGTCATCTCACTGCGTGGCACCGGTTGGGGACCAGCTCTGCCTTCTCTGTTTCTGCATCCTCATGCATCCAGCTAGTCAGATGCACCCCCCCCATTCCCGGCCCCAGGCCTGGCACCTCCACTGGGTGTGCGTCTTTCCCGCCTGTGTTATTGCACACTTGCTGCCAAGACAGAACGCACGGTGCTCTTGGCGGTCCAGGCTGCTGTGTGTCCACCTGTGCAGCTTCCCTTCCGTCCCCACCTTCATGCTCCAGCCCGTTCCATGGTTCTCTCCTTGCAGTTGACCTTTTGCTCTCCTTCAGATCTTCATGCAGGTGGCTGCCCCTCAGGGTTAGGAGGTCCCTCCCTCTCAGAAGCTTCTCTCAGCCCTGCCCTGCACCTTCCTACCTTCCTGAGCTCCCCATCTTCCCAAGTTGGAGCACCTCCACATCCATGGTCTCCTGGGGGATGTAGTGGCTGAGTGTGGCCGTTCACTCTGATACGGCCCAGCACTGTGGGTCATCCAGACCCCAGGAGACACTCACGTTTGGCTACAGGATGGGAGTTCCTGTCCTAGGGAGGGAGGGGGGACTTGTAAACACAAGGGCCCAACAGTGAGAGAAGTGCAGGTTCCTCTTGTGAACAAGAGGCTCATTATTTTTTACAACTTTGGGTTAAGAGCATTTTCAAACAGATGAAATAGCTAAAAGAAGAGATGGGATAGCAGACCCCTTCCCTCTAGAGATGGATGGAGGGCCTCAGGTTTTGCTGTGCTAGTTGCAAGAATGCTGCAACATCATGACCTCGATACTCAYTCTTGCTTCTTCTAAGAACAAAGACGTGTCTCATTTCTGAAGTTCCAGAACCACCCCTACCAGACAAGTCACTTCGTGGTGGCTAACGTTCAGTGAGTGTTCAGAGGTCCCCATTGCCACAGAACTTTTGTAGCTATTCTTTGTTATTGTTATTTGAAAATGAGAATCCAGCCAGGGTTGCGTACTGAGTCTGGTTGTTCCTCTTCAGTCTCTTGTTCAAGAACAGTGCTCGCTCTTAATGCTCCTTGTCCTTGTTCCTCTTCACCGTGACTCTGGCTAGTTGAAGGGTCCGAGCTGGTTGTCTTGTGAGCTGTCGAACTTTCAGGATTTGTCTCCTTGTTTTCTTACCTGTGTGTTGTCCTACAGACCAGAAGTTTTCTGGAGCTTGATTAGATCAGGTAAATATTTTCCTAAGGAAGTTTAATGTCAGGTGCTGTATGCTCCACTCAGAGGCCCCTGGGACTCAGTGACCAACCATCACTGATGCTGAGTTTCACCAGATAGCAACTTGCTAAAAGGGACAGTTTTCCCTTTGCAATTAGCAGAAAATCCATGGAGTCACACTGGCATCCCATGAATGTCCCTTCTCTGGTGACCTGTAATTCTGTGGTTTGCTCTGGCACCTGTTGGCTGTTTCTCCCTAGGTCATTCTGTGAGAATTGCAGTCTGGGGCCTCTGTGTTCCCCCAACAGCTTCCCGTGCTGCCCTGCCTCTCCCAACTCCCCCCCCCCGCCCCCCATAGATGCCTGGATTTTTATTTAATCAATGTATTGTGATTGTTTGGAACAATTTTATGCTCACATGAGCCCATATTTAGCCAGTGTGAGACCTTCAGAGGCTAAATTTTTAAAACACTCAGATGTGGTTTTAAACATTTCTGGGTTATTTTATTTGCATTTGATTTGGTTTTAGCTGGGTGTGGTGATGCAYACCTATAATCCCAGCTTCTCGGGAGGTTGAGGAAGAATGATTGCAAAATTGAAGCCAGCCTGGGCAACTTAGCAAGACCCTATCTTAAAATAAAGTAAAAAAGACTGGAGGAATGGCTCAGTCTGGAGGAATGGATCAGTGATAGAGGGCGCCTAGCACTGGTAAAGCCTTGGGTTTAACCCCCGCACCACAAATGCACACACACARTTTGTTTTTAAAACTTGTCTTGATCTAAATTTTCAAGCCTTGTCTCCAGTGATTCTACTAACCTGGGTAGAAATCATTAATAATGCTTTTATAGTTATTAGCCCACCACAGAGTGTTGAAAAATAAATTATAAGCCATAAACCTGTATGATATCTTTAAACAAGAGAATTCTTCCCTCGAGATGCCAGATTTCTCCTAAGCAGCATCTTGCATGTATATAACCTGTCGTACCCACCAGGGGGCATGCTTTAACACTGTGGCTGCTGTCCCTGCTGCCCTGTCTATTTCTTAGATACCAGGGAAGACCAGTGTGGTGAATGCTGGGGACAGAAGTCAGCTGCCCACATTGGAAGGTCAGGAATTCAACTGCCATGTGAAAATCTGGTTCTTACATGCTGTGCCTGTAAGGGTGCAGTGTACYTCGTGGGGTGCTCTGAGTGTGGTGTGCTCTCTCCGAGTGGTAGTTCCCTTTCCCTAATTTTTCTTATACTTCCACAGTAAACTTTCCACCCACTTAAACAGTCCATGGGAATCTGCATATGCTGGCAAGTGTGGCAACCTGAGTGAGGATCCCCCACASAGGGGTGGGGCGTAAAGTGTCATATAAATTGTAAAAGTCTCAAGCACCGTTCATTTGCAGCCTAGCCGTCCCACCCTTCGGTCTCTTGAGACACATTCAGACATATGTATAGACGCCCGTGGTCCCTTGTTCAAATAGCAGCACAGTGATCATTCGTGAGGACTTGCCTGGGAAACGGGGGCCTCTCCAGACTGTGGAATACCAAGCTGCAAGTAAATAAGCCAGTTGCAGGTGTTTAGAGAGATTTGTGAAAATAAACACGTGACAGTACCAAGACTCCTCCAAGGATATATGGGAGATTCACACAGGAACATAAAGACACACTGCTGGTCCTTCCCCACAGGAGGGGGCACCAGGACAGGGCCCTACCCACGGAGGAGTCAAAGGTCCTCCTTCCATAGTATATATTCGTATATTTTCAGGCAGCTGAAAATTTAAAATTAATTAAGCAAACACTTTCTCTGAAAACTTCAAGGGAATCGGGAGACGTCTCAGGATTTTACAGCACTTTTAAGGGTCCCCTGGTTCATCTTTTGCTCAAGTTYTGTGGTTCTGAGGTTCATCCTTCCTTATCAAGTACAGTCTTTGAACCTTCTGATGTAGTGACTTGGTCTTGTCCCCTCACAGTATACAGTTGCCAGCTTCGTGATGTTTTCTGCTGTAGAGGAAGGTGCTCTGCTTTCCTCTGCTCCCTGGGGCTGGGAGCCAAGCAGGCAAACGCTCCGCATCCCGCCAGGCTCTCCAGCCGCCGGAGTGCCGGGTCACCGTCTGCACCTTCGCTTCCCTCCTGCGTGCGTCCCAGTGCTGCCTGGACATTTCACAACAGCCTTGGTTGGGGCCCACACCCAGAATTCTGTGTAACAGCTGCCTGGTCGTGTTGTCCCAAGATCTGAGGACAGTAGCCTCTTTTCTTCCCTCTTGCCAATGTGCAGAGGCCAAGAGCTATGGGCATCAAGCTGCTGCTCTGCATCACTGGGGTTGGGGCGGCTGCTACTCGGCATGTCTTGGTTTCTTTTTTTCTCTTTATATATATATATATATATTTTTAGTTGTAGATGGACACAGTACTTTCATTCATTTATTTATGTATTTTCATGTGACGCTGAGGATGGAACCCAGTGCCTCACACATGTGAGGAAAGCGCTCCGCCTCTGAGCCCCAGCCCCAGCCCAGCGTGTCGGTTTCGGTTTCTCTAGAGCAGGTCCCCCTGACCTGAGCACTGCCGACATTGTGGCCCACAGGATTCTTCGTGATGGGACCCCCTGTGCACGGGAGGGAGTTTGGCAGCATCCTGAGCTCTGCCCGCTACCAGCCAGTAGCAACTCCCAGTTCTGACAACCAAAAATGTCTTCAGGTATTGCCAGGTRTCCCTTTGAGAGCAGAGTGGCCATCATATGAGTACCAGTGCTCCCACATACTGGCCTCAAAGCAGGTGGACCGTCTCCATCCTGCCTGTCACTGAGAGGCGTAGGGAGTGCTCCCTTAGAGCCAAGGGCACTCGATCTCTTGGTATTCTCAGGTCCTTTCCCTTCCTAATCAAATCCGCATGTGCCGTCCTTGGTAGCTGCCTGGTTAAGGCACAGGCCTGTTGCCCTCACTGTAGGCCCTGCACGGAGAATGTGTCTGGGACTGGATTGCAGGGGCAGCAGAGGGCATTTTCGGAGTGTGCAAGCCACCCAGCTTCCATCTTGAAAAACCAAGGTCCCGTGGCCGTGGCTCTGAGCACCAGCCCCCTCACTCTGCTCCCTCTTCACAGGGGCAGACAGTGTGGGGACCCCCCGTAGCACCATTACATCCGGTTCCCAGCAGCTCTGGAGGAGCTGGTCCTTGGGCAGGTCCTTCCTCTGTACTGCATCTTGCCTGGCACAGGAGGTATCAAGAGGGGCTCTGGGCTGGGCTGTGAAGCTACCCCAGCGCCCGTAAGCCCCTGATTTAAAAGAATCTCTGGCAGACAGCCATCCATGCTACATAGTGTCCTGGTAGCTGGCGTTGGTTTTTCTAAGGCTTTTGCTTTTGGGGGAGGCGGGTGGTACTGGGGATTGAACTCAGGGTCATTCAACCACTGAGCCATGTCCCCAGCCCTATGTTGTAATTAAAGACAGGGTTTCACTGAGTTGCTTAGCCATTTTTGAGGCTGGCCTCAAACTGCAATCCTCCTGCCTCAGCCTCTTGAGTTGCTGGGATTATAGGCAGGGGCCACCATGCCCATCGGCTTTCTGGACTTTTCCAAGTGTAGTGTGTGTTTCATCCCCATCTCCCCCATAGCTTCCACCTTCCTTCACTGCCCAGTGTTTTGCTGAGTTAATGTGCTATTACTTTTATTTGCCCAAGGATGCAAAGTTGATTTTACCAACATTGCTTAAAAGCTTCCATAAGTGCTAAAGTAAACTAGATGGGTGGTGCCTCTAATCCCAGCAATTTGGGAGGCTGAGACAATATGGCAAGTTCAAGATCACAAGTTCAAGGCCAGACTCAGCAACTTACCAAGACCCTGTCTCAATAAGGGCTGAGGGTGTAGCTCATCAGGGTTTCAGTCCCCAGAACTACAATTTTTTTTAATTAGTGCTAAAGTAATCTCCATATGTTCATCCTTGCACATTGTTCATGATTTCTTTAGCAGCATTGATTCTTAAAGTGATACATTCCTTGCCACACTCTTAAGAAACAGCATATTAGCACAGAATTCCTTTAGACCCTCTTGTTTTGTGGCGAAGAGGAGAAGTATAGGTGGAGTCACCCCACTCTTTCCCTCGCTCCAGAGGCAGACGTCAGGCCAGGTCAGGCTTTCCGAAAGCTGCCTGCATTCACCTGTGTGCCCTGGAGGGCCAGGCCTCTGCATGCCCTGAGCTGTGCRCCGAGATGTCTGTTGCACATCGAGACTTCATATGTCCCCCGTTTTTGTTGGATTGACTGCGCACAGCATGGCCTTGTCTTGATGGGACAGAGGCTGCCCTGGGTTCACAGCCGTGGGTGTTCCACCCCCCCAGCTCCTTCCTGGAGCTGGGTGATGGAGGACATGGCTGGGTTTCTTCCAGATCAGAGGTCAGACCCAGTCTCCTGCCAGCAAGAAAGGGTGCACAAGATGCCATCTTCTGTTGGTCCCCTGGAGGAGCCATGTCTCGAGTTTGTGGGGGAGACTGAACCTGTCAAGGACTTCACCCTTTAAACACCTTGCCTATAATACCATTTTTTAAAAAATTTTTTAGTCGCAGTTGGACACAATACCTTTATTTTATTCATTTACGTTTATGTGGTGCTGAGGATCGAACCCAGGGCCTCACACATGCTAGGTGAGCGCTCTACCGCTGAGCCACCACCCCAGCCCCCCCAGTATAATGCCCTTTTGTATAATTCCATTTAAAGCTTATTTCTAGTTATCTAGTGGCAAAGTGGAGAGGGAAGAGGGCCGGGCCTGGGCTGCTGGGTCTTCAGGGCCCGCCTACTGGTGCTCAACTCGCTGGACCACGCAGGAGCTCTGGGAGGTGGCCGGGAACCCTCTTGGTAGCAGAAGCGTGGTGGGTCTGAGGCATGTACCCAGGTGCAGGTGGCTTCTGAAGCTGAGCCACTGCAGGAACGAGTGAGCAATGGTTACCCTATTGTGGCCTTGGGCTATTGGTTACTAGGGCCTGAGGGGTATGACAGGACCCTAGGTGGCCATTCCGAGGAGACTCCACTGGGTTGTTGTCGCCAAATATCTTGCTCAGAGAACAGAAAATTGTTTCTCTTCCCTGTGCAGCCATGGGGGGCCTTTGCCACCTCCCCAGGGCCACACCCTGCCTTTTTCTTATTACCTCTAAACTCCATGAACATCTGTGGTCTTTCCTTTTCACCACCTCAAAAATGCCACTTGACAGGAGTGACGGGGTGCTCTGGAGAAAAGACGCTGCTGAAGCTGAAGCATTAACGAGAATGTCCCTGTGCCTCTTTGCCAACAGAAAATCTGGAATACAACGTGGAGCCTCAGGAGATCTCTCACCCCGACGTGGGGCGCTACTTCTCGGAGTTCACGGGCACTCACTACATCCCCAACGCGGAGCTGGAGATCCGGTACCCTGAGGATCTGGAGTTTGTCTATGAAACGGTGCAGAATATTTACAGTGCAAAGAAAGAGAGCATAGATGAGTAGAGTCCAGAGGACATCGTGCCTTTGCCGCTGCTGCTATCTCCCAAGAGAACAGGGTTCCGGCGGAGACTCTCCAGGAGCCCTCTGGACTCACTGTCAGCAAAGCCACTGCACCAGTGGGCTGGTCACCTCCTCCCCAGTTGAATGACGTGTGCTCTCCGCCAGCTGCAAAGACAATGTCGCTCTCCGCCTACACTAGTGAATTAACTCGAAAGGCACTGTGTTCAGTGGCATGGCTTGTATGCTTGTCCTGTGGTGACGTTCGTGACATTCTGTCCTCATGAAGTCTCACAGCCAACACCTGTTCTTTTTATCCACTGCCATCCTCTGTCTGTCTCCATGTCTCAGAACATTTCACTCGCTGGGCAGATGGGCTTGTCCATTTGCAGTAATTTCTTTCTGATGTCTCCGTGGGACGTGTGCGGTCTTGAGTCAGGCTTGTCTGTCTGTTACCCTGAATTTCCTGGCGTATTCAGAGGTAAAGTCGTTCGCTGTCTTGGCAGCACCTTGGAGATGGAGACGTCAACAAGCAAATGGTAATTAGAATCTTTAGAACTTTATTTTCTTGCTGATACATGAAACACAGATTTTAAGTGTTTGTCTCTCTCTCTTTTTTTTTAATTTAAATTGGGAGAATAACAGTTTTCCCTTCCAAATTCCTCTCGGAATTATGCACATTTCTATAAATCATGAGTTTTCTATTTTATTACATAAGATTCTTTAGGAAATGCATAATAATGGCTTTCGTGGATTTTTCCACATTCATCTTCTGTTTCTTTAAAATGACTACTTTATTTTTAATCTTAAAAAATCTGCTCCAGTATCATGAGTAGGTCTTAAATCAGTGATGGGTTCTTTTTTTTTGTAGTGAGCCACACAGATCTGATGTTGAAATAGTCTCTCTCATAAATTGTACTCTCTGGTCTCCAAAGACCAAAAAGTGGGGTTCCACTTTTCTAATCGAAAAGAAAGAACTAATGAACCTTAATTTTCTTTTTAAAGAAGGAGGGATTCCACGCCCTTGTCATTCCTTAGAGTCACTTCCAGACCCTTTGAATGTGGTGGGGTAGAAAGAAGTCAGTGTCTTTCATGTGAAGCGTGTTGGCTGGTGGGGAAAAAAGGGGTGTGTGTGATCTGGCTTCTCGGGCCATCGGTGCCCTGAAGCACCAGGACGAAGCCTGTGTCCTAGTCACTTGGGAAAGCCTGGTCCTGCTCGGGCTGCCTGGCTCCTTTTCCATGTTCTTAACTGAGCTGAAGGGACCGAGTCTGCAGCTCTGGAGTTGCCGCCACTCGCCACCTGCCAGTTCTCAAGTGAGCTAGCTTGTGATTAGCCATAGAGCTCACTCCTGGAGTTAGGACTTAGTTACTTTGCGCTCTGCGTTTAAAATGCATAATCCATTTGCTGTAGCCAGCGAGGCTTTAGGAGGCCGCAGTCCAGCCAGCCTCGCCACGTGTCTGCCATTTGCATGCAGTATTCTCACCGCGTTGAATGACTGCTTCTTGTTTACCCTTTGGAAACCCTGGGATGACCAAGGTTCGGGGAACCCACCTGAGACCACTTCCTAACAAGTGAAGGCCACTAGGCGGTTACTGGAAGGAGATGGGGACTTGGCCGGCCGGCTCCTTCCGCCTGAAGTAGCTGCCACCCAGTGTCTGTGTTCCTCATCAGTCAAATCCAAAGTCAGGTGATTTGAACTTGCATTTGAAAATGTGACCACTCACAACACCTATCCTGCCTGAGGTGGCGGGATTTCACACTACTCTCGCTTAAGGGTAAAAATTAGATAATATGGAATTAACGTTAATGAGATGCATTACTAAGAAACCTTGGAGCATGCTGAGTTATAACTGTTGGTTTTTCGGTTTGATTTCCTTTTTTCTTAGAGTAACATCAAAGCCAAGAAAGATGGTTTTACCTTTACTGACCCAACTGTAAATATGTATCTAGACTGTTTTTAAATGTGTTTCCTCATGAATGCTTCATTTGGCTCCAGGAAGCCTGTATCACCTGTGTAAGTTGGTATTTGGGCACTTTATATTTTTCTAAAAACGTGTTTTGGATCCTGTACTCTAATAAATCATAAGTTTCTTTTTAAAAATTTTTCCAAAAGTTTTCTCCATTTTAAAAAGCCCTGTTATAAAAGTAGAACTTTCACAATGTTAAAATATGAAATATTTGGATATAGTAACTTCTTTTCTCTTCAAATGAATGCCAAGATTTTTTTGTATAATGATTAATAAATGGAACTTACCCAGAGAAAACCATGCAAATGGCCTGCCCAATTTCGTTTCAGAACAAAAAGCCCAGCCGCAATGAAAGAAGGATCTCTAGCCTCTCTTCTGATGGAGTGTGAAAGGTTTGCCCTGTGAGTCCTTGACAGTGGTGGGGGTGCCCGTGTGCCCGGGTTTCCAGGCCGTTACTTTACCAGCTGTAGTAGCTTTACAGTCCTCGAGAGTATCTTGTTGTCATGCAAATACCGCATCTGTTTAATCCTGTGAAAATACACATCAACTGAGAGCTGCAGATGTCTGCAGGAGAATCAGGTCTGCAGTGTGTCTCGTCAGTGTCGCCCAAGCACTGCGCTTCGCACGGTGGACCCAGTGTCCTCCGCAGCACGCCTCTGCCCTGTTAATGCCATGTGAGGGCAGTAGTTAGGGCTACACAGGGTCAGCGATTTCCTGCCGTCGTGTTCCTCCCGGCCATTAGCACACTGCTGTGCAGAGTGACTTTCCCAGGAGGGCGGACAGCGGATCGAGTCTTCCTAACCTGGTAGGACCTAGAATTCTCACTCCTGGAGATGCTGGTGGCTGTGTTGCATGTGTTTATTGAGCTGCGGGCCAATGTGGAGCCAGGACTCCTGGTAACCCCCCAGCAGCTCTGTGGGCAGGGCCTGTTGGCAGGCTCAGACTGTCTCTGTTGCATGTCCTTCATTATCAAGATGTAAAAAAGTATCCTGACTCAAGGGCTCTACAGAAGCAGGCTGCAGGCGGGGTTGGCTGTGGGCCAAGTTCTGCTGACCCTGCTGAGATGTGCGTGGGCAAAGGTTAGTGCCCACTGTAGGCAGGGAAGTCCAGATGGGACGGCAGGTGGGTGGTGGGAACCCAGGTCTCCCAAGGTTGCCAGGAACCCGTAGCTCCAGCCTTTCAGAGCCACACTGTCAATAAGGGGCAACTCCCTTGCCTTACTTTGTTCCCTGTGGTACTGAGATGGCACCCAGAGCCTCGTGCACACCAGGCAGGCGCTCCACGCTGAGCCATGCCCCCCCCAGCCCCCTCGCAATCCTCTGATCCCTCCCCTCCCAGCTTTATCATTTTAGTTCTGAAATTCTAGAATCTTGAGACTCTAGGACTTCCTTCCTTGATTAAAATGTGCAAATATAGAATAAACATGGCCACTTGGCAGTGATTGCATTAGGGCAGTGCTAGATCTATAATATAGACCCCAGAACACTGTGGCTCAAACCCAAGAGAACTTCCCTGCAGGGGTGACCCTGGGCGGGAGAGGGACACCCCGCATCGCCGCCCTCAACAGGCATTTGGAGGCTGTGTAAGTGGCTTCTGAGAGTCCTGGGGCCTCTCCACCCAGCCCTTAGGAGAGGTTTCCCTGAGCCTGGTGTAGAGGCACTTCCTGCACCACCTATCCCACGMGAAAAGAGGGCCCGCTGCCACGGTCCATCCTGGAGTGCCACACCATGCCACCTGTGTTGACAGGCATCACCAGTCTCCGGCTCAGTCACCCCGTCTCAGTAGSATGCAGTGGGGTACCCCTTACAGGTCCTGCTGCTGTGGTGAATTCAGACCCCCCACACAGATGGCTGTGGAAGGGGAGGAGAGGGTCGGTCCTCCTGGCAGGGGATGTTACATACGCTGTACCCACCTCAAGCCAGAACTTGAGTTACATGGCTGCACCCCAACTCCAGAGGCTGGGGAGTCCGTTCCTGTGGGACATTTACAGTGGGGGCTCTGYCCTGTGTGCCCCCCCACCCTGCGTGGCCTCCACCCGAGGTTCCTGATGGGCTCTGCAGGTTCTCCCTCGGCCTTGGGGACCAGTGATGACAGCTAGCCCCAAGTCCCTTTTGGAGATGAAGCAGGAACTGGACACCTGTTATCAAAGCTCCCGTTAGGGAGAAGGGAGGAGACACCCCGCATCACTGGTCTCCAGCAAGGTGACATCCTGTGGGGCTCCTGCAGACCCCTGCCCTGGCCTGTGGTGACTCAGTGGACCCTGACTGCTCTCCTGGAGGAACGCCTCCCTTTCTCCATGACCCAGGCCTCCCTCCGGGCACATCAGGATGGCGTCAGGGCACGTCCTCCCTGCGCAGCAGAGCCCGTACCTCCCCGCTCTTCCTGCCTGCCAGTGCGGGAGCCATCCCTAGGCTCGTTCCTTTGTATTTACAATAAGCTTGAACTTCCTCTGAGAAATTTCCAAGGCTACTTAACCACCTACTAGTGCCAGGAAAGTGCCTGAAGTTCTCTTCCAGAACATTCCCACCTACTGCATGGTCTTGTACTACATATTAACCAAGATGAATCTGGCTTAACTGAAAAATGTTTAATGGTCCTTTGTTCATTCATTCATTCATTCATTCATTCAGTGGCCTCACTCTCAGGCTCCAGCCACCCTCCTGCCTCAGCCTCCTGAGTAGCTGGGACTGCAGGCACCCGCCCCTGCGCCCAGCTGCAGACTCCACTTTGAGCACAGGGAGCAGGAGATCCCTGGCTCCTGTTCCTTGTGGTCTTGAGAGCAGCTCCTTTCTGCCTGAGCGCCTGTCCTTCCTGTCCTTCCCTTGCAAGAAGCAGCAAAGAGCAACAGGAGACTGTGTTCAGTCCGTGCAGGCTGCTGGCCGCCTCAGCTAACTAAGGGCTGTGGCTCCCCCTTGCAGGTTGTCAGCAACACCGTCCCAAATGGGACCCCAGCCCAGCTCTCCAGCTCTCCGCCTGCTGTAGGGTCTGCCCAGCCTGCGGGGCCAGGCCTAGCCATAGTACTTCTCCTCCCAGTGACTTTCTTCAGGTTTATAGTGGGCGCGTGTTCCCGTAGGAAGTTCAGCTTCCTGCTCAGCTATTCCTAAAATTGAGGACAGTGATACAGAGTCTCTTGGGAAGTGAACTAGCCAGAGCCAGGTGCTTAGTAAACGTGGGAGAGAAGGAACCCGGACAGTTCTCAGGAGACCTTTTTTGTGTCCAAGTTGCAGGATTTAGGGGAAGCTAGAGAGCCCTTGGGACTGGGACAGTGGCCTTCCCATTGCCAACACCCAGTGATTCTCTTGGTTCCTTGACGGTCTATCATGGGTCGCAGGATGATGGTCCCCATCGCCCACTACCATGCAGAGGGCCTGACCCTTGGGATCCTACCATCACCCACTGCAGTGTCTCTCAGCCTGTTTTTTGGCACTGTCCCCTTTCAGAAGCTACAGGGGAGGCTGAGGCAGGAGGATCACAAGTTCAAGGGCAACTTGGAGAGGCCTTATCTCAAAATATAAAAGGGCTGAAGATGTAGCTCAGTGGTAGAACATCCCTAGCAAAGGGGAGAAAACTGCGGGATAAAGCTCAGGAGAAACCATTTTCCTGAGCCTCTGCCACCCTTGAGGCAATGGGTCCCTGCTCTCTTCCCACCTCTTGCTGGTTGATGCCAGTGCCTAGTCTTTGAGGGTCTGCCAAAAGTGCTGCCTTTCCTTGCGCCAGGAGCTTTGGTGAATACAGGAGAAGGACATCTCTGTCCCCTGTAAGGGCTAAAATGTCTACTGTGGACAAAGACCTTTGGATCATATGCTACGAAATCCTCTTTGCTTAGTATGTTGACTCCACCCACCCAGATCTCTTGAAGGCTGTTTCTTTTTTAAAAGTCCCCAATTATGGGCTGGGGCTGGGGCTCAGTGGTAGCACACTCGTCTGGCATGTGTGAGGCCCTGGGTTTGGTCCTCAGCACCTCATAAAAATAAATACATAAAGTAAAGGTATTGTGTCCAACTACAACTAAATATATATATATATTTTTTTTTTAAAGTCCCCAATTAATTGAAAGGGTTTTATGTTTTGTTGCCTCTTATAAAAATGGGATAATCAGGGCTATCCCGGCTCAGTCCTAAGTCGCGGCGACATGGCTAAAGTCACTAAGAAAGTTGGAATCCTTGGTAAAGATGGGACCCGCTACGGTGCCTCCCTCCAGAAAATGGTGAAGAAAACTGAAATCCGCCAGCAGGCCAGGTACACTCATTCCTTCTGTGACAAAACCAAGATGAAGAGATGGGCTGTGGGGATCGGGCACAGGAAAACAGTGGCTGGGGGTGCCTGGCCCTACGGCCCCACGTCTGCCGTCACTGTCAAGTCTGCCGTCAGAAGGACGAAGGAATTGAAGGACCAGCCGAAAGTCCCAGCATATCACAAAACTGTGGCTTGCTGTTGATTGCATTAACTGGGTGTTCTGATGTGACTGCATTCATATTGCCCCCTCAAAAGCGATTTGTACATGGAAGCCCTTCCAATTTGAATTGGAAAGTTTTGCTGAGGYGGGTTATTGTGATCAGGATTTTTCCTCCAGTAGTCAGATGACAATGGCCTGAAACCAAGTCTTACAGCTTGGGTGAGTATGTGCTTAGCTATTTTTTTTTAACCACTGTTCAACTTCTCAGAGACACATTGACAGATGGTGCACAGTTTGTTTTAAAGGTAGAATGTGCTAAAATACACAAAGGACATACACAAACTGAAAAACAAATGGGATAAGAGAAGCGGAGTGGGAAGACTCCGGGCAACAGCTACTGTCACCTGAAATGATTTCCTAAATATTTCCACRAGGTTAGTTAGAAAAATTTGAAAGCCCAAGGACCCCTCAGCTACCAATGGGAATGGTCAGGCCCGTGACAGTGAAGGGACCTKGATTTGGCCAAGGGTCTCGGAACCTGGGCCTTTGGGCCGGACCACAGGGACATTTCTCCTGCTCCCCCCCAGCTGCCTCCTGGTAGGGGCTTTGTGCCCTCAGACACCCTCTAGTGATGCCATCCCTGATTATTTGGGACTCACGCCTTGTTTGCTCAGTGAGCTCCTGGCCAGGTCATTCCACTGGCATTTGTTTGGTTGAAGGAAAAGAGGACAGGCTCTCCCTGTGTCCCAGCAGTCTGTGCRCTGGAAGTTTGGGGAAACCCTATTCCGAGCCTGCAGAGGCTTTTTACGGGGAGTCGCTTCTGCCAGTGCTGTTTCCTCTACGGCAGGGGCTGCCCAACTGTTTCTGCAAAGGGCCAGCTAGTATGCAGTTCTGGATTCCTGGGCCAGATGGTTGCTGTCACAATTACTCTGCCGTTGCGGTAGGATTTCAGAACGAGTGTGGCTGTGGGCCAGGGTGGCCCTCGGCCTGCGTGTGCCTAAAGAAGCACCTAGACTTGTTCTTTTAAGGAAGTCTAAGCCACATCAAAATTTTGAAAAGGGTTGTGGGTCAGATAGAGCTCGCACTTAGCATCCTCCAGGCCCAGAGCACAATCCCCACCTCCCAAGCAAACAGAAAGTTGGGGGGAAAAGTGGAATAGAAACCCAGGTGCCCAGTACCAGGACTCACCACTGGACTCCGGCTGTAGCTTCTTCATCTTCTTTTCAAGGTTGTGTGCCCTTTCTCCCGGGCCATTTGAAGACATCTCCAACTAGCCCAAACTTCTCCCTGAGTATTTGAGCTTATATCTCCAAAGGATGAGAACACAGTACCAAGCATACCTAAGGCGATTAATAGTGACGCAAAAAGTACATCCAAAACATGAAACTGAGTGTTTGGGATCAACCACTTTATCATAAAATCTTAGGCCACTTCAGTTTGGAGCCACACCCTGGTCTAGCTGGAGTCAGAGTGGCAGTGGGTAAGGTTGGAACTGTCAAAACGACAGTTGAAGAGCCGACCCTGGGCTGAGGTGGGGCTCCAGGCAGGGCACTTCCTAGCAAGCACAAGACCCTGTGTTCCAACCTCAGCCATCCATGCCGAGCCCGTTGGCCCACAGTGAACCTTGAGGTTGCTAACAACAAAACAACTGCTGTCTCAGGTGAACCTAGGTTCCGGAACCTTCTCTCACCCTGGAGAAACCATCTGCTGCAGCAGGGAGCTCTACCATCCTTGGGGGAATGGGTCCCTTGCGCTTTCCAGACACCGTTGAGTGGGAATCCACAGGACAAGCACCATATCCTGTGTCCCCAGGCCCAGTGCTGAGCCCCTAACCCCCACAAGGCCTCACGAGGCTGTGCAGACTCGGCGACCCCAGAGGTCCCTTGTAGAGGCCTAGGCACCATCCTGTGCTCTCATTAGTCATATCATCTAAGATCTTGACTTAATCCACCGCATTCACTAAGAGAAGCTATTTGGGTCAAGGCAGGAGAACGGCCCATCCAGAGTTGGGAGCTGCGACTTGTCCCTATGCGAGGCAGGATGGCTCTCAGCAGCTGCGTCTGCAGAGAACAGAACCGTCTCTTCTCAGGGCGCCAGTGAGCCAGGAAGCGCTGACGTGTGGAGATGCTGACTCTGTTCACACCCTCACTGCCCGCCCAGCGGCTGCCCCTGGCCACGCAGGGGCACGGCCTTTGGTGTGCTGGCCCCAGCCTCTCTCTTTCTCCCAAGCAGCAGGCCAGCTGGCTGCGTCTTCCATGCGTCTTCTCAGTGCTGGGRCTCTAACCAGGACTTTGCAAGCTCTACCACTGAGCTGCACCCCCAAGCCCACGTGTGGTTGTGTGTGTGTGGCTTTTTTTTTGGTACCYGGGATTGAACTCAGGGGCACTCCACCACTGAGCCACATCCCCAGCCCTATGTTGTATTTTATTTAGAGACAGGGTCTCACTGAGTTGCTTAGTGCCTTGTTAAGTTGCCGAGGCTGGCTTTGAACTCGCGATCCTCCTGCCTCAGCCTCCTGAGTGCTGGGATGACAGGTGTGCACCAACACGCCTAGATTTTTTTTTTCCTGTATTGCCCAGGCAGGGCCCCAACTCCTGCCTCAGGCAGTCCTCCTACCTCTCCCTTCCAAGTGGCTGGGACTACCAGCGTGCACCCCTGCACCTGGCCATGGTGCCCCTGTAATGTCTGCTTCCCCTTCCTCTCGCCTTGTGGGAGTTTTTTCTGATCACTGGACAGCAGACACGTTCTTATGCACAATGTCACTGTCCTTGGAGAACTTCTGATTTGTCCTCAGAGAACTTGGGAGCGTCTGTCTGGAGAAGCCGGACCCAGAGTCCCCCTGTTTTGACTGCAGAGACCACAGCTGGGCTTGCTGGGCCCTCAGCCTCAGGGACACAGTGGCTGGAGACTTCGGCTTTGCTTCTCCCCGTTTGCATCTGGCGGGCCTGTGTCTGCTTGCTGGGTTGGGGGCTTGGGGTCATCGTCGTCTTCTGTGGCCACTGCTTTCAGGACACGAGCCCTGTATGGACACAGTCAGTGGAGGTTTGTGGCCCTCCTCCCAAGCTGAGAGACTGGTGCAGATGCRTGGGCGGCAAGGAGTGAAGGGCCCCGCGTGATGGAGCCCAGGCCGCTCCTCTGGCTGGCACCTGTCTCCACAGCGCCCTCTGCTGGGAGGCTCCTTGTTTGGYGTTCTCGCAGGCCTCAGTGGGAATGACAATGCGGGGCTCCAGGGTCAACCTTCCCGTTGGACTTTCAGCCCTGGACTACTTGGGTCCACAGCGACAGACACATAAGAGGCAGGYGAACACTTCTAGAATGTTAGGTGAAGTCTCTGCACTTCCCTGTGACAGGACACTGCCAGGAGGCGCGCGCATTTCACACTGAGCCCCTTTCTATACCAACTGTGCACACACTCAGAGTTCTCCCAGTTTATACACAAAGAAACAAAGGCTCAGAGAGGTTGAGTAACTTACCCAAGATGCCACAGCTACTGAGTAACAGGGTCCCAGCCCAGCTCCACCTGACCCCAGACCCGAGCTGCTGTCTGCCTTTCCCCGGGTCAGTTCATTGTCACACCTTCTCCCRGGAACAATGAGAAGAGTGCAGTCCTCCCTGGGAAGATGTCTAGGGGTCTCCAGTCATCTGTGACAYGGTTGCCGCAAGCGCTGTTTAACTGAGTGAATGAAGCTCAGAAGAGCAGATTCAGCCCCTGGCGTCCCTCGGCCAAAGCAGTAGTTATTTATGTGCCTGTCGTCACTCTGCCTTTCCAGGGATTCGAAACTGCCAACCAAAGACGCTTGGAGGGCCGCCTGGTCTTCCCTGGTTCCCAAGCTGGCCGCTGGGTCAGGTGTGTGAGTGGGTGGTCCTCTGGGAGCTGAGAGTCCTCTTCTGTCACAGCTCCCACCGACCCTTTTTCTTAATTATTCACCGATACCCTGCGAGTGCCATTTGCCATTTTTTTGCTCCCTTGAGTGTGGCCTTGCTTTCTGCTTGGAGCTGGGAGTGGATGTGCTGCCACCGGCCAGAAGGGCTGCTTCTGGGTCTGAACTGTGGTGGGTTTGTGATGTGTGGAGCAGTGGTCCCCAAGTGAGCCAAGTAGGGGGTGGACGGAGTCCCCCTGCAAGGTGGTGCTCGGGGTAATAGAGACAATCAGATGGCTCTGGAGGGAGGGAGGGCAAAGAGAGCTGGGAGAATGTGTCGCCGTTTAATCTCATCAGGACAGACTGCGTGCTGTCACTGTCACTGTCTAGGCAGTGAGTCAMCCCAGCGTGGGCTGCTCAGCATCAGGAACAGCGTCACACCCTCTAAGCCCTCGAAGCTCCTGGCCCTTGGCAGCCTGTGCAGAGGAGACGGCTGGGCAGGGACAGGAGGGAGCCAGCAGCACGCAGGACGGCCCCRGTGTCAGGCCACACACCCAGGCTTGGCTGCCCGCCCCCAAGGAACCCAAGCCGGGGTGACTTCCCACTTTCCTTCCCTGGGTGGCTCAGAAGAAAGCAGGAGCCGTGGCCGCCTGTTGGCCGTGTCCCTGCCGAGCTGAGGTCCCAGGCTGCAGGCCGGCCTGCCCTGACCCACAGTCACTCCACAGCCTGGAGATGCTGTCCCCAGGAGCCTGTCAYCTTAAATGACGGTGCCRCTGCCTCCTGGAGCCTGGAGGGCTGCGGGTCTCGGGCTGCRGGGTGAGGTGCCGGGTCCTGCACTGCTGTCTCGGTGGCGCCAGGTCAGGACCCTCAGGAGCACGGATCCTGGGAGAGGTCGCAGGAGCAGGCCGGCCCTCCCAGGACTTCTTAGGGTTCTGCTGTGGACCTGCCCTGGGTCCCCTCCACCCTGGGGAGTGACCCGGAGCCAGGACCAGTCTCCTCGCTTGGCTCAAGAGCCACGTGGGTGCTGGGTCTCACTAGAGGTGACCCCAGCCTCCAGGAGGAGGCCAACTCCCTGGGCAGCTCAGGGGGTCTCAGGAGGTTGGCGTGGGCCTCTCGCCGGGCTGCAGGGGCTCTGGAGGCCTCTGCTGGGCTCCTCCTTCCCATCCAACSGGGTGAAGGGTG